TCAGGGAATATAACATTTCTTGAGGTCTGAATCTGCCTGGTTTGAGGGTTATAATATCTCCAGGCCCTGGATTCATCTGTAAGACCTGTGAAAATGAATTCCCTTGACTTTGGGTCCAGTTTTGACCTCTTGTTATCTTGCTGCAACACCCAGCACTTTACTCCAAATTTCTGAAGTGCCAAAATATCTGGTTTCGTGCCTTGAAACACTTCTTCTGAGGTTAGATCATTCTTGATGGCCCTGGTTGGTGATCAGTTCTTCAAATATGTGGCATATGCCACTGCCTCGGGCCATAGAAACTTCAGTAAGTGATGTTCTTCTAGCATGGCACATGCATGCTCCACAAGAGTCTGATTTATTCTCTCAGCAACTCTGTTTTGAGATGGAGAGTATGCTGCAGTCAATTCCAACTGTATGCTATTGTCCTGGAGGTATTTCTTTACCTCTTCATTGACATATTCCTTTCCATTGTCAATCCTCATAAACTTCAGATCCTTCCCTTTGTGGACTTTGATGTATTTTTGATACTGCTGAATCTTCTTTCGAATTTCCATATCTTGCTTTGACTTTAAAAAATACAACATTGTCCTTCAGGATTTTTCATCTGTGAAGCTTATATAATACCTTTCACCATGGATACCCTGAGTTCAGGCCAGCCCCCATAGATCCGAAAATGTCATTTCCCCTATTTCAGTATAGTCCTTTTTGGCTTCCTGTGGAAATGGCTTGGTATGATGTTTGGCTTTTATGCAAGCTATGCAATCTGTCTGAGGCTTGGCTGACTCATCTATATCCATCCCCTTAACTATTTTCTTCCTAAATAGTCTCTTTACTGATCCCATATTTAAGTGGCCTAATGTTTTATGCCACTTTTGCCATGATCGGGCTGATTTTGTAGTATAGGCCTGGGTTATTTCTAGAACAATAATGTCAAGGCTGTACAGCTTTGATATTTTATCTCTATGGCCAATTATCTTGCCATGTGGTGAGATAATATCTATTCTGGACTCTTTGAATCTGAGTTCAAATCTAGCATCTGTAATGCGCCCTATTGACATAAGATTGAATGATGCATCAGGGCAGTGGATACACTCCTTTAGTGTGACTGGAGTGATCTTTTCCCCTTCAACCATTTTAATCTTGACAGTTCCCCTTCCCAAGCCTTTGGATTTGCCTACACCAATGACTTCATGTCCTGGGGTTTCAACATAGTCAGAAAAATATACTCTATTTTTGACTATATGTCTGGTGGTACCAGAGTCCCCTAGCCATGATACTCCTGAGAGTGAAGTAAGTGCGACGTCTGTTGCATAAAATATGTAGTCATCTTCTTCTGAGTCTGATTTGGCAATATGTGTCTGAGTCTGGCCCTTTTCCTTTCCTTTCTATGACTTTCTGGAATTCTTCTTCCCATTTGGGCAATTTGTTCTGATGTGATCAGTTTTCCCACATCTGTAACATATGACTTTTGAATTGGACTTCTTGTCATATGCTGTAAGTGTCGTAGTCCGATTAGAAGTCTTTTCCTTTAGTCGGATGTCTTCCTGAAGAATTCAAGAAATCAACTTGTAAGAATCTTTCAAGTCAGCAGTATCCACTGATGAGATGAATGAATTCTATGATTCCGGGAGTGATATAAGCAGTGTGATAGAGAAGTCCTCCTCCTCAACTTTCTGCTTAAGGGATGCCAGCTCCTCCTGATAGGACCTCAAAGTCCTAATATACTCCTCTATGTTTCCTCCTTCTTCACACTGAGCTCTGAAGAATTTTCTTCTGACAAGGACAATTCCCATGGGTCCTCTAGACTCATACATATCTTCCAGAGCTTTCCAGGCTTCTGCCAAAGTCTTTGAACCAGCAATATATACCAGCAGGCCATCAGAAACCTGCAATCTTATTGTTGAAAGAGCCTTCCTGTTGCTCTTCTTCCAATCTGCCACCAGTGTCGTGTCTGCTGGGGCCGGAATGCTTCCATCTGCATAATCAATCAGTCCTAAATTGGTTAGGATATCAATCATCTTGATTTTCCACGTCGGATAATTTTCTGGGCCCTTAAGGGGGTCAATTCTATACATGGACTGTCTATCCATGTGGTTCTACATGTGTACATAAAGTACCAAAGAGTGCGAAGTGAGTAGCAACATAAGTTCAGTTATGGCCAGGACCCATAACCTGTTGTAAGTAGAGAGTAGAGTAATGTAACAGAGAACTAGAATTAGCCTCTTGAGAGAGAAACGTTCTACTTAAATACATTTCATATTACTTCGAGATCTTTCTACAAGATACTAAATAAGTCCAGATCATGATCCAAGTCAGCTGCTGCTGACTGGCATTGTATCTTTGAGTACATTCTCGTACTCGCTCAGGATTGCTATCCCAACACAACTTGCTCTGATGGCTCTTCAGTGCCATTAAAGTGGCCAAATAGCTCTTTGATATATATGTAAGCCTCAAATAAAGGTGCAAAGTGGTTTCAGTTGCCAGCATGAAGGTTAAAAAAGCCACATTTGATGTGTCAATGATATCTGAGTCATTCATCATAGTGTGAGAAAAAAAGAGACCATTAGGGTTAGAGAGTGTGTAGAGACCCATGATGAATAGATGCAACTTTCAAATGAATAGTAATATCCTTTAGAAAAGTGAGCAAGACTTCAACATCTAGTGAATGGTTCATAAGAGAGAGTGAAAATTTTGCTTGGCTTAGTAAGGCATAGAGCCTATAACCTGTTGAAAGCAGATTGCATAGCACAGCAGAGAAAGCCAGGTCTGGAGTCAAAGGTCAAAAGCTGATAAGCATTGACTTTCAATCTCCAGTATTGGTAGCTACAATTATATAAGGTAAGAGCAATATAGAGAGTGTGCTACTTCAATATTTTTGACATATTCATATTGGCCTTATTTTGAGAATGACTTGTGCTTTGCTTTAGCCTTCACACAGGTCTCATAAAATTCTGGTTTGAGGTTAAGATCAAGCTTGATTCCTTTGATATAGCTATTGACATACATGCAGCAAAGGACAGTGTGACTTCAGTGAGCACAAATATTATGTAGCTCAGTGATGTTTACCTTAAGCTTACCTGTCACCATAGCAACATCTGATTTGGCTGCTGTAGTTTGCTGTATATTTGGGGTTGAGATTATGTATAAGCCACCAGCTTCAGAGATTTTTGCAATGATCTTAGCATCTAGCTGTAGTGTGCAGATGTATATAGTGTGGTCAGAGGGTTTGATATGGATGGGAAATCCAGTGTGACTGACTTGTGAGAGTGATATAAGGGTGTAGGCTATTTTCAGTGCATAATATGCATTTTGAAAGCTCACAATAGTGGGTTTCTGTCTCTTTCTCATGAGAAGTGGTAGTCAAAGATTTCCTTTTCCTATCACATAAAAAACTTGGCCATTCACAGCTTTGATGAGCTTCAGTTTGATTTTAATATAGTTTTTGAACTTCTGACATTTATATAAGTGTTTTTGATGCTCCACAATCTGCTAATACTATAATGTTCTCTCCTTTTGTCACATAGGCATCACCCTCAGCTCTATAGTCAGATGTGCATATCAATGCCACATTCTTGTGATTATTGTCATCAGCTACAATGGTGATAATATGTTCATCATCACTTTCATCAATAGCTGCAGATGCTGACTCTTTTGCCTTTTTCTTCCCCTTAGTCTTGTTCTTTTTCAAAGCTGGGCCTTGTCCTGCCTTTCCACCACCTTCATACTAACAATCTGCAATGAGATGGCCAGTTTTACTATATGCTGGATTTGTGCATTTGAGATGAGATTGATCAGATCTTTTCTTTAACTTCTTTCCAGAGCTCTGGCTCTTCCCTTTGCTCTGCCATTGAGCAGACATTGCTATATTTTCAGCAGTAGCCTTTGATGCAATTTTCTCATCTCATTCTTCTTGCAGGGCTGCAACTAGAATGTCTGATGTCAGAGTCTTTCCAGTAAACTTGCTGGCAGCAGAGAGTGTGTGATGGATATGATCATAGAAAGATAGAAGTGATTTTTGGATCATCAAAGTGTACTAATTGTCTTCAATCTTCAGACCCATCCCTTTGATTCATTCATAGAGGATTTTCATTTCAGCAAGGTGCTCATGCATATTGCCTTCATCAGGGCATGCCATGTTTCCAAGCTGAGTAAGGAGGTGCTCTCACATGAGATCACTCTTGCCAGTCATAACAGTGATGAGCTTCTTCCAGATGAGGGCAGCTGTTATCTCACCTTTGATCTCATTGAAGGTAGAGTCAGAAACAGCTTCATAAATGATATTATGCATCTTTGCCTCTTTCTGCTCATATTTCTCCAGCTTATCCTTCAGCTTATCTAAGTCATCATCTGAAAGTAGATGTAAAAATGCAGTATCAGAGGACCAGTAGAAGTTTATCTTGTGCTTGACAGAGTGCAGGGGTATGTGAGCTGTTCCTCAGAGGTGCCGGCCAAGGCCCTTGTCCAGGAACTTGGTGATGAGCTTCTCTGAAAATGCTATCTAGTTCAATCCATTATCTAGAAGCTTTGTTGTGCTAACTAGCTTTATTCAAGTTGTCATGGACATACTGGTAGCAGAGCCCATAACCTGTTGGAGTTAACGAGGTAGGAGTGCAGACGTGGTGAATGAGGAAAAAGGTTTTCAGAAGAGAATAGATGCTAGGATAAAATGTCATAATGTTAATCTCAGCATTATGGTTGAAAGCTTTGTTATTTACCTAGGATAAAACATCGTAACATTATTACATAGGTGATAAGTAAATACGGTCAAGGATAGATATGTATAGAAGGTACTCACATCTCAGCGTTATGGTTAAAAGCTGAGATGTGTGGAACGGTGTGACATGCCGAAAAAGGAAGGAATATCAAATAGGTAAGTGAACATGTGCATATCGTACTATTCTACGTCTAACAGAGTAGCTATTGAATACATGCAGTCCAAGTGATTGAGAACAAACAAGGTGAAGGAAAAGATTTATTACATATTACTGGCTTTGACTGATTCACATACCCCATGCTGCCTTAATAACATCAGCAGCACGCTCAGCGATGATATAAACCATAGCTTGAGGATGGCCGGCAGGAATGATGGGCTGAACAACAGTATATCATCAGATGAGTTCAACAATACAAAGGCAGAACTTACAAAGACCGAGGCATCGACAATCCTTACTCCCTTGGCCTTCTTGAGCAGCAGCTGACCATCAACAACCCCTTCACCATCTTCCTTGCTCAACCTAGCAGTGCAGAACGGATGCTTGATGGTAGTCGCCCATCGGCTCAGGTATTCCTTGATCCCGTCGTCTGTGGTAGTGTTGACCGAGCCGATATACGGTCCGGTGATATATCCATCCCAAGCGTGTGCAGCGGCAAAACGTTGGGCAGCCTTGACGCTCTCAATCATAACATTGACATCGTAGTCAGTGCTTAGTATCTTCGGATCGATCGTAGGATGCTGGAAGGGATCGTTAGAGGCGAGAGTAATGGCTCCACCTGGATGATAGAGTTAGTTCAATACTATATTTCTCCGATGAAGGGAATAACGTACGAGATGTGGGTGTAACAACCACATTTATGATGGAAAAGTATGACCCCGACGTAGGGTTGGTTTGAGAAGTGGTAAAGAAACCGTCCTGTTGGGATTTTAGTAGTGGAAGGAATACACATGACGGAAACACCGACAGCAAATGCAAGCTCGTAATGCGGCGAACTACAATTGAAAGGTGAAAGGTGAGCATACAATCATCGTAAAAAGACATAGGATGGCATACCCAGGTCCAGAAGTAGGATCCCCAAATTCAGCAAGGATAGACGAATTCTCCGGGAGACGGAGGAAAGCCCTGTCACCTTTTATCAGCGATCAAAACAGACCCAACATCAGAGAAAATGCACATTTGAGTGGAGACCCCATTCGCAGCAAGACGACCGGTTCCATTTGCATAGTATTGTTCAAGAGCGGCCTCGAGAGCAGCTTCAGCACGGTAGATAGGATCCATAGTCCCATTGCTGTCCACGTTCCACTGGATTGGCAACAACGGGTGGTCAACAAGATTCTGTCCCACCTCAGGCAGGTCAATAATGGGCTTGATGCCAACGGCGGCCAAGTCCAGAGACCTGCCAATTCCAGAGAGCATAAGAATCTGAGGGGTTCCAATGGCGCCAGCTGATAGAATGACTTCGCGCGTGGCAGAAACATTATAACGAGGGGCTGAACACAAATAATAAGTTCACAGTCCGAAAGAAAAAGGTGGTTCCCTCGATGTACCAGTGGGATTCCTAGCAAACTCGACCGTGGTGAATACGGGAAGACCTTCTATTTCACCGTTCTGAATCAGCCTGGTGACTTGACTATTGTAAACAAGGTCGAGGTTGGAATGGTTTCTCAACGCGGGTTCGAGGTAGGCGGTCGCAGAACTACTTCTAAGAGGCCCACCGATGGTGCCTAATGATGCGTCAATCAGGCTATTACACTCCAGATAGAGAGCTCACTGTGCATCCACGAGACACCCAACATGTTCCCAGAGTTGTGATCTGGGTTCCACGGAAATTCTTCACTAAGCTCTGCGGTTGCTGCAATGACTCGATCATCGGTATCCGCAGGGTAGCCGTAAATGCTCGTCAACAGTGGCCCATCAGTCCCGTGGATCGAAGGAATGTACTGTCCAGTTTCGTTATGACCCTGTACAAACATTGGTCAGTGATCCTGTTTCACGAAGCAAGACATTCACATCGTTGGGGGGGACATGCTTCTCATTCTATTGAGAAAGGTTAGCATCAAAACTTGAACACATGGAAGTAAATACTATACCTTTAGAGCATAGGGAAACAGGTTATCCCAGTTCCAGCCGTCGTCGCCAGCCAGATCAGCGAAACGATCATAGTCGTCTGAAGAACCGCGAGTGTATACCATATAGTCTATTTCACATATCAGGAGATGTCATTGCAAGAGTGGTTGTACGTACTAGTTGAACTGCTGCCTCCCAAAACATAGCCACGAGGATACGCAATGAGTTGGTTGTTTAGCGGTTCCTGAGGAATTGTAGTATAGTTCCAGTCAAAGGTTGTGTGCGGCGACGCTTGAGGACCAAAGAATGGTATGGTAATGAGATAAGAATCGAACCCGACATTGTTTCTCCCCGCTTCCACAATCAGAATAGAGGTGCTGGCATTCTCAGCCAGACGTGCAGCTATGACATTTCCCGCAGTCCCCGCTATTAATTGATGGTAAGTCAATGTGTCCCGTACATCTCGGATGTGCCTGCCCACCTCCAACGATGACGAAATCGTACTGTTTGTCCATAGGCAGCTGGCCGGGGTCGTCATATACGGCTGCTAAGCCAGACTTAAGCAAAGCTAAGACGAGTCCGAGAGACAGAAGAGAAAACATGACGGATGACTCCTATGCTGAGGAGCTGAAGAGCAGGCGGGGACCTTTTTATACTTACAAAATCAAGTACCCCCAACAAAGCATTGGCGGCGTCGGAAGCCACCGGACTCGTTCCAGATATTGAGGAAGATGACGCGATATTCGTAAAATAACGGTCACCAAGGACATACTTGAAAAGATAATTCCTACACCGTGGTATCCTGAACAAGATGACCAGGTTATCAGTATACAAAGCCTCTAGGATGAAGATTGGTCGTACCTGGGTGGTACTTGGGTCTGCGTCGAGGAATAAATTTAGTTACCTACGACTCCATTGAATCTTGTTTTCGGTTCTGCCAAGGAGACGGGGCCCACTCCACCGACCAAAAGTTCCCGCTCCCGCTACATCGGTAAGACTGATCGGACGATGCAGGAGAGACAGCTGTAGTGCGTAAGACAGCATAAGACAGTTTATTTTCAATATATGAATCGAGTATATGCATACATCAATGGAAAATGGAGACTTACGAGGTCGCCGAAAGTTTCAATATTTCCTTTGAGAAGGACTTCTGGAGCTAACACTATTCTTATCCCTGGTGCATATGAACAACGCATCATCTGAGTGGCTCAAAAGCTGTGCGAGCCGGTGGCGTTTCCTGCAAGTGCTTATGAGGAAGTGGTAAGTGCATTCACAGTTATTCAGCCCCCAAAAAAGGAAACGTTATTTCCGGCCCTGTGGCACGCTGTCTTAATATAGTTGCCGATCATCAAAGTAAATAGTTCGCGCGAGGCAGACCCTTTTTTCCACGTCTAACCGGATGATTAAGAAGACTGAAATAAGTGGAGTTGGGAGTCGTGCATCCCACCTCTGGTATGGTGGGCGCACACACAAGCCACGCCGTTCTTTCACCACCTTCAAGTTTGCCGTATCCAATAATCCACAACCCATGGAGTCACATAGTACTACCACAACCGTCGACGGTCCCGAGCGGGAAACGCGATCGTCGCTTTCAACCCTTCAAATGGTGTCGCTGATAACAACATGTACAATGACTATGTGGGTAAACGTAGGTTGCTCTTTGCTTCCTTCAGAAACCATATTCTCATCCACAATGTAGAGCTCAAACAATACTTCCGTTTCAATTTCATTGCCATCTATTGGTGAAGGCTTGAATATTGAAGAGACCCAATTACAGTGGCTGGTAAGTCTTGGCGTACCGTCGGCATGACATTAACCCACCGTCAACTTCCCAGGTATCGGCCTATGCTCTGAGTTCTGTACGATTATACTGGAGGTCAACCATTGACACCAACTAAGCACATATCTCCCCAGGGATGTCTTTTTCCCATGTTCGGACGTCTTGCAGACCTCTATGGACGTAAGCTGGTCTTCATGACCGGCTCGCCATCTTTACCCTTGCCTGTGGCTTTGCCCAAAAGTACGTCTCCGTCATTGTCCTGGGACTCTTACCAACCACTCACTAAAATCAGATGAAATTGTACTGGATGTGCTACGCGGTATTCAAGGAATTGGTATAGCCGCCGCTCTGCCCGCATCAGTGAGCATCGCCTATTACCATTTATTTCCTGATGACTTGAACCGATCATCAACTATAGATGGGAATCCTAACGCACACTTTCCCCGCCGAAAAAATTCGTTCTATCGCCTTTTCCACCTTCGCTGCTGGGGCACCCTTAGGCGCGTCCACCGGTATGGCATTAGGCGCCACCCTCACCCAACTCTCTAAGTATGTAATTAACCTAATAACGCCGAACTATTGTCTGATTATTCTTCTGAAAGCCCATCCTGGCGAAGTAATTTCTGTCGACCGGTCTGACGGTTTTATACATGGTCGTTGGATTTTGGGCTATACCCAAGGACGATCCATCCACGGAAGTAGACAAACGTGTTGACTGGCTCGGCGCATTCCTAGTAACGGCTAGCCTGACTCTCATCATCTTCGTCCTTAGTGATGGAGAGGTGGCACCCAACAAATGGGCGACTTCCTGTAAGCTTGGTATTCTCTTCATTGAATATCTTTATTTACGTTCTATCCAGACATCATCGCGCTCCTCGTAGTCGGTGTCATCATCCTTAGCCTTTTCTTGCTATGGCAATGGTACTTTGAACGTGTCCAGCGCAATCCAAACGCGCGATATTCTGCATTCACTCCACCACCCATCATGAAACTCTCTCTCTGGGCGCGCAGAAACGGGAAATTCGGGGCAATCATGGTCACCGTCATGTTCACTTACTGTTCATTTTTGGGATGGAATTTCTGGACCCAGGTACGTGAAGGATGATGTACTCACGAGTGATGTGCTTACCGCAAAGGCTTTTTCAGCTCTATTATCAAAACTACCAACGCTATACCCCCGTTGGTACTATGATTCGGCTGTTCCCCATGTTCGTCACCGGAGTTATCGGCAATTTTATCATTGCAATCATCATCGCTCGGGTTTCTGTGGTCTGGATTCTAGGTTGGTGGATTCCCAAAGCAATTGACTGAAGGAAATATGCTCATTCTCATACTTCAGCAAGCGGAACATTCATTACCGCCTGTGCCGCAATCTTCGCTGAAATCGACCCCGAAGCAACATACTGGGCCTACGGTTTCCCTAGCGCCATTTTCTCTGTCTTTGGGGCCGATTTCGTCTTTGCTGCTGGGATGATATTCGTAGCGAGAATTGTCGAGCCGCACGAACAGAACCTCTCCGGTGCTTTGTTCCAGACGATGTACCAGGTTGATGATTTCTTTCTTGAACAAGAACTGGACGTTGATGTTCTCGACAGACTGGGACAGCACTGGGAGTTACGGTCTCTACAATCGTTTTCAACCGCGTCGTCGCTCAGGACTCGTTGAATATGGGTGTCATAGTGGACGAAGCAAACGGTGATGCTCTACGAGAAGCTTTGCTGAATGGCTACAAGGCAGCTGAGTGGACCGCATTCACCTTTGGAGCCATCGGCATGTCATTCATTTGCTTCCATCATTAGAGTCGAATTAATGTGTCATATAGGTGCACTTCTGGCCATTCTTTTCTTCTGGAATGTCGGAATCGTTGGAGACAAGGGTACATTGGAGGAAGCCAAACCTATATCAACAGCTCAAAGCACTTCCACAGCGGCTGTTGCTCGAGACGTGGGGAAAGCGATGCAAGAAATTCCTAGACTGGTGACGAGTTCTACTCCATCGGAGAACGTGCATCAGTAAAAAAATTATTGTATAGAAGGAATATACAACGCACCACAGATATGGACACTACTGACACTTTAACTTAACCTAGACATCATTGTATCCACTAGAAGCCGATGACATCCTGGCTTTTTTCAACCGGACCTTGTAATACTATTCAAACAGAATAAACACTTTCCTCCGGAGTCCGCAAAGCGACAAGCACGCATCATTATCCAGGGGGCCACGTCTCTCGCTTGGAAAGAAGTATCCGTGATCAATACCCACCATGAGTAACCTTTACTCCGAGTTCTGTCATCCAACTCTGCATGTATTTAACATCGATTCTTATCTCCAAATTAGAAGACGAAGAACGAACCAAGTGAAAGAACATATCGTAAGTCCAGGCAAGAAAACGTCGCTTAGAGCCTCTAGTACGCAGATAATTTCACCCCATGTAAGAACTCAAGCAATGTCCCTGCCCTCCGTCTTCACATGGGTGAGAAATGGTACCGTTACGGCTTTCCCACGCAATGTCCATCAGATTGCGACTTTTGACTGCCTCTTCGTGTTTCTTAAAAGCCCTTGCATGCTTATTGTCGCCGAAAAAACCACCCAGGCTGGGAATAAAGCCTTTGATAATATTGAGACATCGCATAGTATCCTGTAAATAATGGCGAAGTGCAGATATCAAGTGGGGCGAATCGTCCAGCAGAGCTAACCGCATCAACGCTGATGACCAAGTAACCTACTGAAAGAAGGCGTCTCTGCTGAGGACCTTCGTAGCTCGGCCGTCAGTGTGGCCTTAATGTTGGCAATGGTTGCTTCAAGTAGCGGGAAATCGCATCTGCGTAGAGTCCCATATTCGTACCATACACGACGAAACAGCTTGTGACACGTCAAAAGATTGCAGCAAAATGGGCTGGACAGTGTACGTCTCTCGCCTGGAAAGGTGCACGTGCTCGATAACTCTTACTCACTACATTTGCTTTGAGTCCTTCTCCTCTACTAGACTCGAAACAGAAGACTCCGCGGGCCCAAACGTACCAAACACATCTTTCTCATCCACATCACCGACGCCCAGTGGCGGCCACAGCTTATTCAGAAACAGCCACGTCGCAGCACTTATAGTAAATCCTAACGGCCAGGACATGTAGTAGACACGTCTTCAAAGATAATCATCAGTTTCGTCCGCAAATGACATCACGCAGATAACTTACATCCATATCGTACTAACGCGGATCGAGTCCGGGGTGATAGACGCGCAGAACCCGGGCATACTAGGCCAGACACCCTGTCAAATCTGATGTTCGAGGTAGACCCTTGAGTAGATCTGATAATCACGTACAAGGATCCACGCTACTGGTGCTCGCCAGTTGATGCCATGCCAAAACCAGTAGTCACTAGATGAGTTCGGGATGAAGAGATGAGACAGTTTTAACCGTCGTCGTCGTAGAAGATGGTAATCCGCCTGTGACAACTGGTCAGTACCAACCAGATCATACCCGAGAAAGGGAGGCGCACGGTCATTATGCCTGAAAGAGGGCCAAGGAAGACAGCGTATCCTGAGATCACGGAGATGAACGAGTTTGCGCTCTATTTGTGAGGTGTCAATGTTCCTTGAGGCGTCTTTGTAAATAGTCCAGACGCACGTTGAGGATCTTCCACGGATTAATGCATATCCCAATTATCCCGACGATGAAAGCGCCCCGTTTGATATCGATATATCTATGCGGCTGGATGTCAACAAATTGTCGTCAAGCAATACCCTGACTTACCGAGGGAGGAGCACAGCGAGATCTATCCCTCCGACAACACCGCATGCGGTGACCTATACATGTAACGTTACGAAATTTCCACAAGAAAAGAAACAAAAGGGTACGTTGACGGATAGCTGAGACACGAAGAAAGCAAAGGCTGCAAAAAAAACGGCCGCACGAGTTCCCGGACCGCTGTACTCCTGAATCGCTTGTAACAAATCGTATAATTTCCTTGTCAATTCGAGTTAGTCGATGGAAAACTAAGATGACAAAGTGTAGTTTACCAGAGGAGAGGTTCGTCAGGATAGAATCCACGAGCGCAGGATGTGGTCACCTTAACTCGATGAGCATTAGCATAATGTGAAAATTTAAAGGCTTACGATTCCGAGCACGTTAGTTCCCAATAAACACAAAGGAATAATGAAGATCTGCCCGTACAATTGGTCACCAGGTTTTGCAGCATAACGAGAAAAATCTAGATATCACTGTTAGATGCAAGTAACCTGGATAGCATAGCTACCACATTACCGCTCTGGTAAAGAATCTAGGGCGGACATATCAGCGGAGATCCAGAAAATGGAAAATAGAATTAACCAACTCCTCCAGCCCAACCACCGATCCCGCTCGTGATCATACGCATCATGGCCCAACCTAACGCCGCCCCCTTGAGCTCCCCAATCCCGGAAACAGTTTCAGGGTTGCTAATGAGTGGGCCCCCGTTGCCTTGTTTTACGATAGCCCATATGAAGACTGCTAATGCCGCAATGATGACAATGACTGAAGATACGATTGAGGAGAGTCGATATCTGAAGAATAAGTACAGTTGATGCATAGAGAATCCTTGTGAATATCTTACTGTTCTGGCCGAAGAAGGAGGAAAGGACATGAGATGAGCCAGAAGATAATGAAGGAGACTGGACACAAAAATCGGTCAGTCACTGACGCTCGCAACTAGGCAATGTACCAACTAAAGTCGTTCGTCTTCATGGCAACTCCAGGTCCGAATGTGTTTCTCATATTGTAGAATCTTGCTAGGGAACAACGTCAGAATCGTCTACGAGAATGACGAATGCAAAACTCACGCCATATCGACCCAATCATAATTTTGACCATTTGACCACCGTACCACCCTTGAACGCCGTACCAGCAGCACGAGAGGATTACGCGATTGAGCAGTGGAAACCAAGATCCACGACTAGTGGGATTCTCAGAGGGATGGAGGGACGGAGGAGAGGTAGGAAACTAACATTCCCCAAGCACTGCGGTTGAGGACGGCCTACAAGCAAGCTTGTTACAAAGATCTCAGTTGAGGGATTAAAGACGCACGAATGGAATGTGCCATTTTCCTCCTCCATGGCCACTTATTACGAGAGCGAGGCATATTCTGCATCAAGGTGAATACGAGAAAATAAAATGAAGAGAAATGTTGACATTATCGTACTAATGGCATTCACTTGGACTCCAGTGAGAACGCTAAAACACGGGTATATAAGAAACTCACCTGCGATAGCTTGACCAACAGTCAACCCAAGAGCCACTAAAGAACTGTTAACGCCCTCGAACTAAAAGACGCGACTAGACCCTCACGGGCTGCAGACGCCCCAGACCATTCCGCGATATTGATAGCTTTTATTACTATGAGTGGAGTGTGCACGAGTGGTTCGACTATGAACCCACATTTCGAAAGCCAGAAAAAGATAAAATCTCTTTTGGTCCACGTCCTCCTCGCGGGTGAGAAAGGGAGTATATCGTTGTTCCGGTAGGGTGAAGCATCCGGCGCGACCTACGTATACGATGAGCGCGGCGTCACTCAAGAAATCGATGCCCTGACCTCCAGAGCTTTCAGTACAGCCTGTACCCATGCCATCGCGCGATCCACAGCAGGATTTGCCTCGGCTCCGTGGAGATTTATAAAGAAGACTTGCCCCACAAGAAAAAGCGACGACAGGGGATTTGGTCTATCCCCATCGCGGCTCTCCCGGTCGCTGTTCCGGATGTGAATTACGTATAGAGAGCATCAAATAGAGGACGCCTTTTGAAAGCGTAGTCGAGCCTTCCATCTCGAAGAAAACAAATGCCAAACAATTCGTGGTGAAAGATAGAAGATGAGTTAGTGATGAGGTTGAAAGTCATGAATTCCGTATGCACGAACACGATGGTGATGGTCGATCATAAGAAAGGTGATCAGCCAAAGAGTTTGGAGCACGAGTACTATATATTCCGCTAGGGAAATAACTACATATATGTGGCGAAAATGTACGCAAAGTCCCAATTATATGCGATTTTGATACACTACAAGGTTCCAACGAGATATTTGCTACAATCAGTATAATCATGTCCATGGGGTACGTATCAACCGGAGTTGGCAGGTTTAGCTGCATACCGGGGGAGAGATTCAAGGGGTTTCGAGATGAGGAAGCCTTTCAAGCCCGCCACCTTTTCGCCCTGGCGACCAAAGCCAAATCCAGCTTTGGAGTCTTCGGAGCGTTTTTCTTCATTGGTGTTGTGGCTGAAGGCATTGGAGACGAAGGAGGGTACTGAAGTAGGGACAGGGATACCAGCTACGTGGGTAGGGAGCACACTGGTCGCTGCACTCTTAGCATGATCGCGCCAAGACGTGACTGAACGTTTGGTCTTGGCTGACTGGCGGAAGATGAGGCCAGCGAGCATGTTCAGGCAGCCGATGGAGAAGAGGAAAAAAGCGGATACAAGGGTAAAGTCGTCAACGTGGTGGGAGAGGACTGCGGCACCGATTCTGGTATCATCATCAGCAAAAATAAACTAGAAAAAATAATTGTGTAGTACGCACAAGCACTGGATGATCCCTAAAGCACCCAGACCAAAGTCATCACCGAGAACAGGGAAGAAACGATTGAAGAACACGGAAGGCCAGCCGAATTCAGAGAAGAGCAGAACGACGGTCTGACCGATGATGAGGAGCCTGTTCAACACGGCCCAGAAAATCCCAGCAGCTTGGTTGGGCACGGTGCTTCCACTGCAATCTTTTAGGTACTACAACCAGACCAACAAAAAGCAGACATACTCGATATAGTCCGTATCCACCACCGTCGAATTCGAAGAGGACGTCCTGTCGCTAGACGTACTCTGGTACCGGTTCACAGCTTTGACATCGTTGACCAGCGTCTCGATGTTGCTCGCAAACACGAGAAGAAGGCCGATAATGCTCAAGGTACGGATGATATTGAGACCAATGAATATGTCTATAATAAAGCATCAGAAAAAGTGGTGCCATCACCGGAAAGAAAGTGTTTACATGCACGAGGAGGCAGCATGATTTATTAGACAATATAGATGAAGCAACCAGGCTTGAGTGGACGTGAGAGGTGCACCGGTGCACCAGACGTGAAATGAGCGTAAAGACGAGAGAATCGGCGAAGAGTGGTATTAGCGTCGTCAATGCGAAGCCCAGCTTTATATATTACTCCATTGTACAGAGAACAAAAAGAGGACAATGACCGGAGAAGACTGCGTGTGTGGCGTAGCGACCAAGAATTTCAAATTGACTTTGCCGCTTATTGTCTTGTTTCGCATCGGGGCACACACTTTGTATTCGATTACAGGTGTCTGTATCCGCCTCTCTTCATCCATACTCCGTCGTGCCCACCACTGTCATATGCATCACCATCAAGCAACGTTAACATCGACATAGCAATCAGACAGAATAGCAGCTGGCGATGATGGCGGGCAACGAGTAAGAACCTTTCGCACATGTTCTGAATTCCGTCCTGACGACACGGTCAGAAATTTAATGCATACAATGGTTTTACAAACGTACAAATACATCAGGTATATCAGCCCCTCCACAAAGGTCTAACCGCTCCCAAAACAACCTCTCTGGCACTCTCCAGTTCATCACCAAGTTGCCGATCACCAACACTTTCCAATAAACCTCTGTTCTCCCATCTCTGCTTCCCGAATGCCTTACACATCCTCTCCAGCAACCCCCAGTACCCTTCACTTCCCAGCTTTGCCTCTACCTCCACGAAAAACTTGTCAACCCGCTTCTTTGTAATATCTCTTGGCCCGAAATTCGACTCGGATAGATCGTTCAACACTGGCCATGGAACATCCTTGAACGACAGCGCCTTTCCGTTCCGGGAAAACTGTGTTTCCTCAAACTCGTCCATGCACTTCTGAGCCCGTTCTATAGCCTTCTGGTTCGACCAACCACCCTCATCGCTGTCGTCCTGCCCCCTTCTAAGCAAACGGTGCCGATCTGCCATGGACATGCCGTTGAGTAGCAAGTCCAGCGTCACGCGAAGCCGTCGGAATTCTTCGTCTCTCCCCTCCGACTTGATTTTCATCTGCGCAAGGTCAGACTTCAGCGCTGCTACATCTGCGGACAACCCCTTCTTCTCACTGATGCCCGCAGCAAGCTTCTCTTCCAGTACCGCAACCTTGGTATCCGAGCCTTTCACCTGCTTCTCCAACGCTACCTTGTCTGCAATACTCGCAGAAAGTTTGACCTCTAAATCCAGCTGACGCGTGTCTGAATCCATAACTTTACCTCTTAGAACCTTGTTCCTCTCTTCGAGCTCGTCAATCCTGGCATGAAGGACCTTGATCGAGTTGTCCCTTGTAGCTGTCTCAGACTCATTGCGATCCAACTCCTCCCTCTTTTTCCGCTCCTCCGCAGCTTGCAACGACTCCAACATCTCTAGCTGTCGGTTCTTATCTCTGAGTGCCTGTTCTAGCTGTTTGACCTCACTCGTCAACTCACCACACACCCGTTGGAATTTTTCCTCTAACACCACCAGCTGACGGTCCTTCTCCTCAACCAATTTGTTTCTCGTCTCGAGGTTGATGTCCATGTCGCGTAGTTCTTCCCTCATGTCATCGATAATACGTTGGGGCGTATTAGACTTTTGGGTAGCCAGGGACTCTTCGAGTTGCTGGCGTAAACTCGCGGATGCTTTGGACTCGTCCTCCAGTTGGAGTTTGCACCGCTCCGATTGTTCCAGATGACAGGCATGAGCAAGGGAGAGCTCTTCACAAAGAGCGGTGATCTTCCTTTCAGATTCTCTTGCCATCACTTCCTGCTGCAGCACCCTTTCTTCTAGTAGATGTTGTAAATCATGGATTTGGGCTTTCAACTAACAGATGTGCTATTACATCAGTGACTGTGAACATCCATGAAGATGTGAACATACATATTCATGGGTTTTCTTCGGCACATACCCGACAGTAACTGCGGCGCCGACGATGGAGCAAAACTTGGGATTCCGAATTGCTTGTAGTGCTGTAGCGGCTTTGGAAGAGTTAATTCGGTGTATGTAAGTCGTAGCACAAGGATATCACCTTGACCTGCAGTTGCGAATCTTATCGTCATCGTCGAGGAAACATTTACTCTGAGAGAGAAATTGATAAATATGCAAGTAGGCAGAAATAACCATCTTCGAGCTCACCCTGTTATCACGCCAAACTAAAAATATTGTGGATCAATGATTACAACACGTACAGGGAGAATAAGTGAAAGAAACCGACCATCCCGAGGTGTTGATACAGTCTTAGAGTGAGACCCTCAGCCTGAGAATCATCCTATATATAAGTAAATGAGAGATCGCGCTGAGTGGAACTACAAGATACTTTTACCGGTATATCGAGGGTTAACACGCAAGGATCGCAGTATTCCATCAAAGAAGCATCGCTACTACTACTCTCATTGCGTCGTATCAGAGCGCCAGAAAGGGCCTGTGAGACGGGATTCATTGTATTCTTCAGCCCGAGTGTCCGGGGCCCTGGACCTGGCAGGCCTGTCGTGCTCGTGCCTGGCCGGCTGCTGGTAGTAAAGGTCAATGGTGGTTTTCCGGAGTATGTTGAATCTGATTGTGAGTCCATCTCGTATTAAAATTCCTGGTCAGATCTAGCGAACACGTTGGTCGTGTTGAAAGAGTTTTGAAAGACTGGAAGACTGAATTGATTGGCCATCTCCGCTAATGCAGCTCAGGTAAATAGAAGTAAACTACTTCGACCGACCTCGATGGCTTGTTGTGAAAAGTAATGACAGTCGTAGCAACAATATCTACCAGTGCATGAGTCGAAAATAACAGCGAATACACCCATTCCCTCTGAATCCTTTCAGTCTACCGTATCTTTGATCACCACAGACCAGCTGTGTCTCGCTGACATGGAATGTCGACCCGGGATAACGAGGGTCAAGAAGTAAGGTGGTTGTCACTCTACAATGATTTTACAGAGTGATAAATGCCAATGGAGCTTGTAAGGATGCGTAGGACAAGAGGAAATGGACTGGGGTTAATGAAACCGTGAAGTATTCAGCTCCTTGAGCAACATCACTAGCGACCCAAAGACAAGTCCCTCAGAGCCAAGGAAAGTGATGTCTACCTTGTCAAGGGCAAGGACTCGTGCTACAGGCAGAAATGGTGCGATGTTATGGAAAGAAAGAAGGCTGTAGGCCAGTATCTACGCCATAATATCATTCAATCTCGACAGGAGGATCACCTTCGCTTTCTTCAATATTTTTGTTCTATGGTCCTCTCCTTGGCTCTTAGTCGATGCAAGGCCCAGTTCCGTGGTAGAACATATCTGTTTCTCGTTATCTGGCTGCTTCGAATCCTTTGCACCTATGGCGTCCTCCATTATCTCCACATTAAACGGGGAGCTTTCTGCGACGGATACTGGTTGCATCTCGCAGGACGTGACTCCCTGCCGAGTAGCAAACTGTAATTCCACCACCTTTTGCGCTACCCCCGAGCTCGCCAGCTTTTCCGTGACCGTCTTGTGGCCACGTTGCAACCAGGGTACCATTTGAAGTTGGTTGGAGGGTGAAGACGAGACTTGGAGATGGAGAAAGAGCGATATGTGAGGTATTAGTGGTGGGTGGTGGTGGTGGACGGAACCTTTCCTCATGTCGCAAATGCCCGGCGAGATAATGAGGAATGGGTACTGTCCGATGTACCAATCTACTGATAACCAGAACAATGTTTCTGTAGGTGTACCACGAACTGGTTTGTAGTAGTGGTAACGGTGGCGGTGAATGGGGTATTAGTGTCCGGATGCCGGTCCGGCGATGACTCCGACATCGAGCCCGCAGTTTCCATCTCTATTGTACCTTCCCAGATCCCGTCGCCGTTGTGCACCAAAGCATACGGGGAATAGCGCGCCTTCCGTTGGTTTTCATTTCGTGACTGATCTGTCTCCTCTAGCTAAGCGAAATATCTTCCTTAGAAAAGAACTATTCTTACGACGAACCATACGCAACGCCCACATACAGAAGCCAGCCCGGTTGGCAGACATCGACAGCGGAGGATAGAGCCTCGTATTCAGGACTCCATTAACATTTTTGAGGCGCTGAGGCTTTCGCAATTCGTATATTATTCAATACATCAATGCATCAACGTTCAACTTATTCTGCAGATTCTCATCAACGACATTCAAAATGCCCCTTAATCTCCCGTCTTTTTCACTGAACGACTTTGTACATCCTCCCTCGCTGCAGCCAACTGCTTCATATTCCTGGTCCTAACGTCGAGGTAGCGTGTGCGATGACTGCATGACGCATGTTGTGCATCTGGGCACCGACAACTCTGCACTACTAGTACTAGTACTACATGCCTCCGACTGGAACTATCACAGAGGTTTCACAAAATTCATTCAACGGACCTACATTGTCCTTGTGTGACCCCGTGATGCCGCAATCTGGAACCTCACTGGCCGTCAGCTGCGACAACGAGTTCTATAACATGCGTCAACTAGGCATACGTTCCTGAGTGGATCAGGGACGTGACATGCGACAGTTGGTGCGCTCATTGGCACGTCAGTGTGAAGGAGGGGACCTCGCTCTCGCTCTGGCATCTGGAACGCAAAGGAGCAGATATCCACTTGTCGGCACGGCTGACGATTAGGTTCCACATCGAGTCGCGCATAGATGTAGACAGGGTCTTGGATATGGCTGCTTCTAAACAGGCAGCATAATGTCGCCTTGCAAGTATCATCGACAGCAGTACCGCCTCCCCTATTCAGTTCATATGAACTCTTTGAGATCTCAGTGAATTCGGCGGGCATTCCGTGCGTTCTGCACGCGGCGGTGGATGTATTATCATTGCTGCTGCCCAGACAGTTGTGGCTGCCACGTTGCTAAGGTGCATGTTCACTTTGCAGACTCAGAAACTATGGTCTCGAGACCACGGATGGTTGAGGCGGAGGTTGTTTACACGAGAAAGCAGACACATTGAAGTGGCGTGCGCTTTTTCTCCGATGTCGTGGCATGTGTTTTGGTTATTTCTCTTCTGCCATGCTGCAATAAGGTATTGCGAAAAATGATAACCAGGTTCTGTGGCCTTTTCCTCATCATTAAACAACGAAAAAGTCATTAATGGTGTTTTCCCGCAAGTGACAAGAAGGAAGGAAGTTTTATTTCCCGACGTGAAATCTGGAAAATTTCAATTCGTCAATTTCCCTCTTGTTTTGTCTGCTTCATGGCTGTCTCTAGCTTCCTATCAAAGTTTGTATGCGGGCCAAATGACTCCCTCGACTACCCAACCTTGGACCAGCGAGACAAAAAATCTCTGAATATGAGAAGACAACTTCTGCAGGTATGTTGTCGGAGTCCTGGCTCAGACTGCTGTTGCTCTCCGCGTCGAGTTAGCACTGTATATGAAAATGAGATCTTTCTGATGACGGTACACGCGTCAATTTAGGAATAAAGTATCGATTGTCGATGAAGGAAGGCTGGTACATTGCTCCACACTTACCTATTTCTAACTTATTTATTTGATAGAAATACCGCCTGCTATGCCAGCCTTTTCCGATTCCATTCTTAAAACCATACCAAGAAACCATCATCTTAGCTCTCGCTGTAGACCTGAGAGTGTTTCTATTGCCTGATTATCCTTCCCTCTAATATCTAGTAGTATGTGCATTCCTCGCCTCAATGTCGAGTAGAATCGGCTTTTCTAGTACCGGCACGCACAAGTTGGCAGTGACTTCATACATGAAGCGCCAGATGTCTCCTATGCCAGCGCAAATGTGATAAGGGCTTGTAACTCAAGCTCCAAGATTGCACTATACTCGCGAGGAAGGCAGAGACAGAGCAGTCTTGAGCCTCATTGGGCTGTCAGATGCTGGTATTGCGAGTATGAGTTCCATAGCATACGCCAACTGGGTGCTCTAACTGGTATATTGAGGGTTAACACGCAAGGATCGCAGTTTTCCATTAAAGAAGTATCGCTGCTAGTACTCTCATTCTGTCGTATCAGAGCTCCAACCAATTTTGTACCCATTTTTCCCGGAATGTCCTCTTGTGACAACTTCTGGTCGAGCCTTATTGTATTAATAGTTTCTCCTGAGACCCTGGACTTCATCAATACTTTGACCGTTGTACTTTATGTCTTGCTCAATTCGCACCCGATGAAGGAATGGTGACTATATTGTACGGAAGGAATACTGAGAACCCTAAGCACACAGAATATGATACATAGCAAAATACGATTCCTTCCATTTATTTAAAAATGTCTTCGTAATCCATGCATCTCCCAGATTCGATACGCCGGACTGCGGGCCCTACGAGACGCCATTCATCTTTGAGGTACTTCTCCCGCGCATCTAGAGCTTCCTGGCGTGAACCCCCCAGCTGCTCTTCGAGATACTTGTCGAGGAATACGGCTATGACATCGAGTACTTCGGCATCTTCTGTCACTGCATCCCGTGATTTAATATAAAGCAGGATGACGATAAAACGCTACGCACAGAAGGTATTGGGACCACCAAAATCTAATGCAACACCGAGGTTGGTGAGCTCCGGACAGAGAGAGAACTGCGCGTTGTATGGTTTCAGAGGAATCTGGCGGTCACGGGTATGTGTGTGGCCTTCAGTGAAATCAACAATACGGGCTTTGCCACACCATCAGCCATACAGCAAATGGTGCTCGTATCCTGGCGCTATCTGATTATGGTCTGCACCAGCATCGTGAATTCGTTGTAGGGCGTGAGCAACCTTCAGTCTTCATCGGGGGTCATACATTCGTAAACAGCCTGCCGGAAGAATATACGCCTATCTTGTCGTCAGCGTGTCAAGCATTGTTCCTCTGATCTGCCCAGGCCATGACCATCCTGAAAATTCCATCAGAGAGAAGACAACGTGCCCTGCCCATGAAGTACTAGCCTCTCAGACTCCGTAATGCCTGTGGACGAAGTCACCCTGGGATGTGGGCAAGCGATGTGCATAGAAGACTGCCCGGTGCCTAAACGCTTCGTATACATTGTACCCTCGAGATCGGGGATCATCGTCGACATGAAGTGCTACCTTGATTGCAAGGTGAATAGTAAGGTAGCCTTCTCGGACCAGCGCTATGTGAGCGAAGAGCGCGCTCTCGAGCAATGGTTCGAGTTCCCAAAGAGTTCCAATCAAGGAAATCCTTCGAGTGGTGGGATAGGGATAAACCATTTTTAGTGTAAGACATAGAGGAAACGAACAGCGTCCCTAGGGAAATTTCCAAAATTTTAGCAAATGTGGGAAGTTCCGTTGCGTGCAAGTCGAGATGGTTTTCGTGAAATACGATAGGACGAAAGGTGCTTTGTTTCCCTGTTCCTATGAAGCAAATGCGCGGCAAGTCTGTAGACATCGTGGTGGCAGTTGCAAGCCAAGCGTAGCATTTATCGTGACTCGTTTCTCCTCTGTACAAGCAGAGCTTTAGGTCAGGCCCTTCAGCGGCTAGCGAACAGAGTCAAGCCATACATGTGATCCTTTCTCACGGGAGGCAATTAATGCTGGGCACCAGTAGTCAATGAGTGAGGTCTGGCTATGCCTTCCAAATTCTCAGTGACAAGCAACAGCCGTCTGAGTAGAGAATCTCTTTCTTCAAAAGTCTATTTTAAACATTTCAGAACTAGCATGCATTCGATTTGATTTAGACGTTCGATCAAGCTAACAATTCACCCAGAGGCTTCTAGGAATTCTTCGAGGACTTGAAGATATCTAACATTTTGCAATTAGTTCTCGCACATTTGACCCTCTAAAAATGTCCATACCTGTCTTTCTCTTCGTACAATCCTAGGTGTGTACTGTTCGCGAGCTCCAGCCACTTGATTTTAGGAACCCTCAAGAACCACGGCATAACCGCAACATTCTGCACCTCGTCATTGGGTGCACTGACGATCAAAGTGGGATTCGTTATCTTGTGAAGGATGTCGACAATGGACCAGGTCTTGAGAGTTCCGGTTACATTGAATTCCGACGGTCCCAGCCTTGATAGCATAAATCTTGTTGAATCAAGTCAGAAGAGAAGGGAAACTTACATTGTATGAAAAACGGTTGGATTTTTTCCAAACGATTCAAAAGACGCCATGACATCTTCGGGCCACGGATCCAGCGTACAAACGTGTTTCTTCATGAACACCATCATTCCATCCTCGTACTCCTTCGAGCTAGTCGTACCCTCTCGTTCATGCTTTCGCAACATGGCAACGAAATCTGGTGGGAACTTTTCCAAAAGAGCATTCGTCCCGACCTCGTAGAGTTCCATCGATGCCGGAGAGTTGAGGATCACCAAGCGGCGTAAGCCCTTGGGTGAACGAGTAGCCGCGTATTGCCCAGCCAGCATTCCTGACTAGGGTGAGTTTCGACTGATGTGTGAGTTTCGAGATTCGACACACCTCCCCATGATTGGCCGACAAGGTCGAAGCACTCGGAGATGCCTAGATGGTCGAGGAGGTTATCGAGCTCATCCATGAAAAATTCTGGCGTCCAGAATTCTTTGGGGGCGTCACGTAGATGTGTCGAGTTCCCGTTCCCAATCTGATCGTACGCCACGATTGGGATTCTAGAGCGCAGACTCAGCCAAAGCGCAAAGACAAGCATGAAGAATACGAACCCAGCAGATTCCGTTAATGCTTTGTGGACGCTGTGGGTTTTAGCCTTGTCAGGTATTAGGCTATTTCGTCGAAGTTAAGTAAGCCTACAGCATGCTGTTCACGCCATATGCAATTTCAGCAATATAACTGTAGAAGCGATACAGGAACGTACTATTCGTGTGTAAATCCTGGTCCTCCATGAAGAGTGACGAGAGGTGGTTTGCCAGATTTCAGGTCACCGACAATCTTGTACCACGTCTGGTAGGTTTCATCACCTACCTTGAAATCAGCTGTGCCAGTAGTTTCGAGGGGCATGTTGGACGTTATTCCGGCGGGTCAGTGAAGGCTATCATAAGAGTGTGTCTCCGACTACGACTTTAGATATACGGGTGGTACATGTGAGCAAATGATGACATCATGGGAATCTACAAATATCACAAGGCCACCAGAACGCAGCGGTCAAGTTGATCAAATGATGGGAATTTCGCACACAATCTCTGGGTCTTGGGTCAGGTTTCACAAGGGAAAGAAACAGTTATCCGCCGTCGCCTTCGGGTAAGATGGTGATCGTGGTGAATATCAAATATAGGTGCTGATATGTACCCCGGTACCAGCTGATCCTCGCATCCGTGCAGTGATCTATGCATTTGATGAAGTAGGTCCATCAGTTCTCCCCAATTCCTTGCACCCCACATCCTCATGTGAGACAATAGACAATGTGCGCACGTGGTGGCACGAAATCCTCTACAACAGTCCACTAAACAGTAAGGAAATCGTTGTCGCAGTGGCCATATTATCTTGTTAACATCCATTCACTCATTTAATCATTCTTATTTCTTCAAAGCCAGTAGTTGGATCTAAAGTACGAAATTATATATCCTCGCTCAGGCGCACAACTACGGCCTTTACTACGTTTACTGCACCCCTCAGAAAGGAGGCCTATGTCGCTCAGTTCTTCTACATCCACGCCTTAATCGTCCACGTTTTGGAAAACATCTGTTTTGCACACGCATACCTTTTGTTTTTAGTCTTTCTTCCTGGACCAAAGGAACCTATCTATGAGGAAATCCAGACGCCGCGTGTCTCTTTGGGAGAAGTTGTTGCCAGCTCTATGACATCTTAAACATTTAGAGCACTGGAGCAATGTACGCATAGCAAAGTCGCGCCCATCCTCTGCACGACCGATGCGCGCGTAAGTGGGTTCTGTTCAGTGAATCAGACGACCAAAGGGAAGGAACGGAATGTGGAACGAACCCATGTTGAACACGGCTGTATCTACCTGGACGTGTCAATGCCGTTGTCGCGCTCCCTGCTGTTCGTCATGTACGAGAATCCACTAGACAGGGGCGGGAACTAGTGTACAAGTAGCCTTGCTGTCCGTGCTACACCACAGCACAACTCCCCACTCTCGGAAAACGTCGTCCAGCTCTTCCCAAATCTTCTCCTCATCGCATTTCGTATATCCTGGAAGCCACCAGGTGTCAGGTTCATAGGCAGCTAGAGAAATCAGAACACAAGACAGACGCCGAGATGTGGCAGACCTTCTGTCGGGTCTTCTGGGCAGCGAAAGATTGAGAAAGCAGTCATTTGCAGCTATAGAATCAGCTAACATGAGCATGTACTTAGCCCAAGGACGCCGCAGTGGAGCGCGGGAAGGAAAGAGCCCCGGAGAGCGTTCGGGAGCTCGTCCCGAACTTGACGGCACCTCCGACCGACATTTACCGTTAAGTTTCCCAAGCGAATTCGTCTGAAAGGTATGAGTTGAGGAGAACGTTAGGGTCAAGTTCATGTTTGTGGTTGCAAGGCCAGGATCCACTCGCAATCCATGGTTTCGACATCACAGATATTGTCACCAAGGAACGCCGTCCATACTTCTTGTAATATATGCTGGCACGCTTGTGAATCCACGTCCCAACGCTCAATCCTCGAGCTGCACATGTGAGCAGAGCATGCCACCAAAGTCATGGAGTAGCAAGGTCGCGAAGGTCGGCGCCGTATCAGTCGGACGCATAGCAGAACACGCACAGTCTATACTACAAGACAAAACAAACTTTTTACAGCTTCGCTGGAGAGTCGGTACTGCGCAAGATATTCCATATGGCATCACCTAGTAAATCCGGAGCTTCTTCAACCACCTAGATCCGCAAACATGAGCTGCAGATCTCCGTTTCTCATACTGGTGGGACTCACCAAATGTCCAACATCAGGTATTTTCGTCACAGATGCAATCGGGCATACTTTCCGCAGAGCTTCTTGTTTCTCTCGCGAGCTGTGATCGTTGATTTAGCGGGGTAAACAACACAAAGAAAATGACAAGGTACATCATCTCCTCTCGCTCTCCGTACACCAAGTGCACAGCCAACTTTCCCTTCACCCTCTCCAGCTCCGTAATGGGGAAGACAGCCTCGTGGATATGGACGAACGGATACGCCTCGTGTCTTGGAGGACATTTGAGCGTCACGCCCCCGGTCGATGTATCGAGTCGCAAGCCATGTTCCTGTCGCCGCCGTCAAACAAGCCTGAGGGCAAACAAAGAGACTCACGACATAAATACCAAGGATACGCGAATCCCATATATTCCACGGGAAACGTTTAGCGAGGTACCTCTTCGCGTCTTCCCGAGACTTCCAGTGATCACGCCGTTGAGAGATAGCCTCCGCCGCAACGGCGACCATAGGTGATTGATGTTCCGGATCTGTAAATTCTTCCGGCCACGTTGTCGGTTCAACGAGAACGAGCGCGGCAAATGGGATGTGGTCGAAGAAAGATGTCGCTAGTGCTCTAAGCGACGTGAACTAGAAATATGCGCGCTCGAATGAGCTGCCACGTACGCTGAAGAGCCTCCAGCTGAGTGTCCGACGAGGATGACCTTGTATCCGCCTTTCTGGATCCTATTCGCGAGTTGGGCCTTGTATACGTTGGCGCAGGCTTCAGCATAGTCCCAGACGGCTATTGCCAGTCAGAAGAAGTAATGTACGTCGCTGGACGACTCACAGTACTTGAAATCTGGATCTTCCATTGCCTCTGCATTCAAAGCAGCTGCGTCTCCGTGTGTCTGCGCGTCGACCGCCCAAGCTTCGCGTATCAAATGCAGAGTATCTAAAGAAAAGATCCTTCGAATTGTCACCTCCCAATGCTCCTTATCTGAAGAACAGTCAGTAATCAGTTCTCCGGAATGGAACCAAGGACTCACGAAATCCCGTTCCATGAGCAAAGATGAGAATGAAGCCAGGCCGTTCGTTGACATCCTGCCGGTACCGTTTGACCGTGCATTTGAGAGGGCGAGAGTATCGCGTCTCCACGATATATTGGTCCACGTACATCGTAGTGAGGAACAGAAGTAACAGGTATCGCCATCAGGTTTGCGTTCGACATACTTATTATTGGAGTAGCAACTCCGCAGACAACGGGGATTTGAAAACGGGGGTCCCCCGCGCCGACCTCGGGCGATCAATCTTTGGCCTCGACTTGGGTCTCCCCGAATATTTTTCTCACCCTGCCTGGTCGGCTCATAAAGCTTAAAGCATCATGAATCCTAAAACTGTCTCAGGCTGCAGTGAATACAGCGCCGCCTCGACAATGTCGCTAAGTCACAGAGGAAGGCGGTCATTGGGAAGCTAAAGATGTGCTTCAGATCCAAGTCGTCTTGAAGGTCCGTAGGTGAGTAAATATGTCCTGATTTCATAACTTGGACGCTTTCCGGCCTTAAGCACCTCCGCATCTCGTCTCGAATTTGATGTCCTGAACTACAGTACAAGGACCATATAGGCATGCGAATAGTTAAGAAGTCGATAACAGCTAGTATGATGTCGTTCTTGATTGAATGGGACCTTTCGAGGAGTTGGGTGCTGTTGCTTGTCAGCCGTCAATGTCTACACGCTTTCATGTACAACGAATACTTACGGTTGAGCTGAGATTGCTCTCAATTTAAATTTCGGAGTTTGAAAGGAAGTGATGTTCTGCACAATAAAGCCGGGCGTATAATGGAATGTAGGAATCAGGGAACAGCTGGGACAATACGAGTTAAGTATCGTTGCTCTTCGACATCTAGAGACTTATTACATTATCTGTCCTGGTGTCTAATCTTACAGACAGTAGACAAGATAAACTCTGCCAATTCAACATCTACGCCCACCCTACAATGCCTATAAGAAAACAAACCAGAGAGAGAGACAGACAGAAACAGAAACGCACCCATCTGCTCATACGTCCAACCCCAAAGCGTCCCATTCACTTCCATGGTTTTATTGGTCAATCTATCATTCCTATCCAGCCCGCTTATCTTCTCCACGTCGCTAGGGTCCAAGACCGGAAGCTACGCACAGAAAACAACATCAGGGACACCCACACCAAAACAGTCATGACAGACTAACGATCATGTTCTCCTTCTGTCGGCCCTCATTTGCGCTCTTGGGAATGATAACCACGCCTCGTGCTAGATGCCACGCCAAGATAATTTGCGTCGGCGTGGCATTGTATTTCGCCGCCAGCTCAATGATAACCGGGTCCTTCCTGACGACATCCATACCTGTAGGAGTGTACGCGACGACAACAATACCCTTCTTTTGGCAATATTGCACAAGATCTTCTTGTACGAGATACGGATGCAACCTGTTCGCGAGCGGATCAAGTTTCAGAAACGCGAACATGGTTCCCTGACTCACTCGATCTGATTCACTGCAGGTATGATCTTGGCCACCGTGAACAGCTTTTCCAATCTGTTAGGGCTAGAATCAATGTAACAAGTAGGGTTAGACTGTAGGACATACGTCTTAATGGAAAAGTTGCTGACACCAATCGCCTTGCACTTGCCCGTCTCCAGTAATTTCTCCATCACCTCCCATGATTGGTTGAAATTCCGTTCGTCAGTGACACGGACTGTCCCGTCGGGATTCCGCGGGAGAAAGTTGTCCTCTGGGAGGGATCAGATTGATAGATGTCAAACGGAGGGAAACGTCTTACTCTCATAGACAACATATTGGGGCCAGTGCATCAAAAACTAGGACAGTATTATTAGTGAAAGTGTGGGATCGGCTGCTATAAACGTACCAAATCTACATAGGTCATTCCCAGACTCTCCAGGCTTTCGTTCAATGACTCTACGATTCGACCATGATAATTCCATCTAAGAATGATCATGACCAGACAGGCGGATCAGTGCAGTTCGAACTTACGGAAACTTTGTACAAATAAAGAATTCTTCCCGCGGAATACCAGACTTGCGTATAGCCTCCCCCAGGGGTTGTTCCGTACCTAAGGAAAGTTCCGTACGAGACGAGAACGCCCAACCTGGCATACGTACCGTAGATCAATGCTGTATCAAAGTGCCTGTAGCCGGCCTACATGAACATTAGCAGAAAGTAAAGCTACGCCAATCCCTCACACACCTTGATAGCTGTCTGTATCCACGGAACGGACGCACGCTGTGCTTCAGGATCTATTCCAGTCCAAACACCCAACCCTATACCCAGACAAGTCAGAATCACAGGCGAAACAAAGGGTCAATGCACATACCAAGCACCGGAATTGAGTCACCATTGTTCAATTCCACTGAATGGGATACATCCATGGTTCAAGGTAGACGATTGGAGCCAATTCAATTCCATGTCGGTTTTTATACGAGCGGCAAGAGGATTACACATCGCTCTTGCATGCCGAGGATTCGTCATCTTTTCCCTAGTAATGTGTGGGTTGGGTTGATAATTGGAAGCTCGTCCACCCGTTGGTGGCTGTGCAATTATCACGTGCACGACGCGTTGCTCGGATTCGTTCCGGAATCCGAATCGCCATCTGGTTTCAAGGTGAAGTACAGTTCATTTACAGAGGCTTCTCGCGCCACTCCGTGGTTGTCGTGCTCGGTATGTTTTCCTGCCGACGTCTATCTATTTAATCGCGACTTCCACTCTTGATGATGGTTCCACTATCTTCTCTCAGGATACCTTCTCTTAGTATACCTCTTATGTTTTCCTCTGGACGTCCTAGCTCGTGAAGTACCATCCTTGACGGTCTGCAGGTCGAGGCTAATCTTCTCGCAGCCGAGCCAAGGTCCATTCCGGCCCCTTCTCCGCCACCTAAAGAACAGAATCCTGGGTGAACATATGACAGGTCCTGCCAGTGATAGGGAGTCCTGACTGAGTCCACGGGAGAAGCGTCTTTGACATCTAGTCCCAAGGGCCGGCCAAAACTGTGATGTACCATTCCTACGGAGGGAATAGTACTTCCTGCTTTCTCACCGGATATACCAGCGGACTACTCCGTTCTCGGACAAAGATACGACAATCGGCCTACATACGACGTCTTTGAGCGGGAAAGCGACACCTTTCCTTTTGCGCAGCGAACATGACAGTTTTTTTTTTTTTTTTCGTGCTTCGGCTGGACTGTATCATGTCTGTGTGCCCAACCCCGGGTAGCATCAAGAGGAGGAACTCCGGAAGGGTGGGTACTCTTGGCGCAGCATCTCACGTCCATCTTATCGGTCGAGCCGCAGGTGCAGTTGGTGGCGTGTATACCATCGCATCTCGGTCCCTTGCGACACATTTGATGGAAAAGCAGCTAAAATAGCTGGTAGAATAGGGCTCCCTGATAAAGCCCTGTTCTTACTGTGCTATCCAGTTTCCAAGTGAAACGGCGCTCCCAAGTTGACGCGTGTATGTACAGATATTTTTTACTTCCGCGCACGAAATTCATTTCCATCTTGTTTCTGAATCTCTTCGTGATCGGCTAAAAATGGATCCACCGGCTGAATGTGCTCCTTTCTCCCGTTCAAAGCCTCGAAAGTTCTACAGTCTTCGTCTGTGAATCAGATGTCTGTCTTGGTTGAACATGAACGGTTCCCGGGCCAGATTCGCTGTATCATGGAGACATGTGTAATTCGTAACACAGGATGACTCAGGGCAGTCAATCATTCATTTGCCGCAGCTAATATATAAAGGGGCGGCAGAACTGCGGGCGCTCCTTTTTTTTATAAGGGCCAATTTCCCTAACACCACCACCATCACTACTAGTAACTACCATGTCCAACGCTATACCCTCACCATCGTATACCAACGCCGGACGTCAACTTCCATTCCATGAGTCGCCTTCACAGCGTGTTGCCAGAGTAGACTTTATCAAAAAGCGAGAGGGGGACAAGCGTGTTGAGGCGTGGGTACGGCTGCAGCAGGAGCACAAACAGTCGCTCTGGGGGGCAGCTACAACAAACACTTGCGGGGAACCATACATCGCTACCCCCCACCTCTCTGAGGATCCTATTCGCTCGGGTTCCCCATTCCTTTCCGTGCCGTACATTCATCCAGAAGACGAAGAACCATTCATCTTCTACTCTTCTGCGCCGTTGCATCCGGCGTACATCCCGGAAATAATCTATTCGACGCCGCTGCCGCTGCCGGTCAAGCCCAAGCCGCGTCGGGTGAAACATGGCAGGCATCGTAGGCGCCTCTCTGATTTGGACTCCATCCCGGAGGAAGTCACTGTTGAGGGATAAGAGGGAGGAGGAGTGTGTCGTGTCCTGATGATATATGCACCATCGGCCTCGCCCGCCGTTACCCAACCAGAGCCGCGGCTCCGCCTGCGAAGGCATATATTTAGCCATACCCCCTATGCACCGACATCCCTTTCAATGTAGGGCTAACACTGTCCGCGCAGCTGGAATTGGGAGAGGAAGATGTATAGAATTACGGTTCGAGTAATAGTATTATTTAATGTATTATTCACCTATGAATGCTGCTGTGCCAGACAGACCCGAAGGGGCATCATCACCTCATCTCCAACAAAAGCCTGTGTAGTTGCTGCCCTGAATTCTTCTACTTTTGCACCGGTCCGCTCAAAGGAGAAATCCTTGATTAGTAACACCAGAATCACCTTAAACTCGAGAACAGCTAAGTGAGGAGGCATCAGTTTCATTCAGAGCTCATTGAGGTCCAGCGAACACGCACCAAGCCTCCATCCAAGACAGTTCCGCGGTCCATCGAGGAACGACGCGATACCGCTCATCGGTCCTCGAGGAAGCTGCTCAATGGGTGTCGCCATCTCAAGCCAGCGTGAAGGCTTGAAGACATGAGCGTCGGGACCCCATACCTCCGGATCAGTGTTCAATACTGAGGTAGGAATTTGGATAACCTGAAAAGACAACGTGTTTGTGGGATTGAACCTACAAATCCTTATCTTGACAGACGTACCTGGCCTGCTTTGATGGGAAGTGAAGTAATGGTATACCCATTCCCTGTTACGATGGGCCTGCTGAGGGGGATAACGTCATCTTCGAGGGCAACACGATCCGTGCGGGCAGATGGCGCGTGGAGACGAAGTCTATTCGTTGCCGTGAGACAAAAATAAAATAAGGTATCGACGACATACCCCTCCCGGATCACTGCGTCTAGGAATGAGAGGTTGCTGATACTGTCGTAATTTAGATCGCTTCCGAGAGCATAGATTTCTCGGCGAAGTTTTTCTTGGATATCAGGTTGACCGGCAAGCTCGTACAAGCTGAATAATATAGAGCACGAAGTCGTCTCATGTCCGAGCATTCTACGAGGGTGGATATCAATTTGGTGGGATCAACGCGCAGGAGAAACAGAGACTGACAAAAAGGTCGATATCTGGTAATCAGACGCCGTCAACGCGACCACAAACAGAGGAGTAGGGGTTGGACTTACGTTCGCCAACAGCGTCTCATCAGACAACCGCTCGCTCTCTTTCCTGTTGTGCTTCTGATTTTCCAACAATATGGACAGGATATCCTTCCCAGTGCTCTGCTCGGCATTATCCTTCAGGATCTGCGATCCAATCCGATGCGCGACTTGTTTAGCAACGCCATCTGTTTGCAGCGCCGCTATAGGAAGCTTCTGGATCCATGGAAACTTGACTAGCAGAATCGGCGCGAAGAATCCCGCAAAGGTGTGCGCTAGGAGCACGTCGTGGTGCCATGATTTTGCGATGTTCTGGGCGTCCTCCGACACACCCCCGCCAAAGTCATGCCCAAACGCGATGCGGCCGATAATGTCGAGGCTAGGAGAACGAGGTAGGTGGCGCTCAATGACGTAAGGAAACAAGAGCTTACGTGCACGACGAGATGAATGGAGACAAGTTCACTACTGCATCGCCCCCTTGCGAGGTAAGGTGCTTGGAGAGTCTTGTTGCAGTCTAGGAAGCACCGAAATCAGTGTGACGGTCTTTCATCGGATAGAAGTGACGGTAGGATACCCTCTCTACACATGCGATGACATCGTCCGTCATCCCCTTTACTGCAGTAAGTCTGCGATAGTCGGTGAATGCCGATATCAATGGATAGGATTACATAGATCCATCTCAGAAAACATACGTGAATGCTGGAGCGAGAAGTCTCCTCTGATGCTTATGTTCGTCTCCTTCTGCCCAAACCACTCCCTTGCCCAACCACCTCTCGGCCGTCGGTCGGAATTCTGGCGCCTTGACATACCGATAGCAGTGCTGCAGGATATGTTGAGCAGACGTGTTGTCCGAGGTAACGACCTAAGAAATGAAAACTGTTAGCGGTAAGGAAACAATGCGCCGACCATGTGTGGCGCATGGTCCGAGCTTACCACATCATGTCCGAAGAGGGGTGCTTTGATTCTGTACAAGGGTCCTAAAATCGTGGCCCATCTGCTATGCTGGGAATGCTTGACGTTGGCCTCGGAAGACCAGATAGCATATTCATGCCCCCAAAGCCAATGAGCTTGTTCCAACGGCTGCAAAAACAATAAGTAAGGTGGTCTTCCGCAAGAGCAAAGACAACTTACAGCGCATTGGAGCTTGCTGACTGCCCTATTCCGGCGTTCGACGTAGTAGTAGGCAACAACAGCGACAGAGATGAGAAAAAGCAAAGAGAGATTGCCTAACAAAGAGGCTGGCATCGGAAAGGATTAGCGGAAAGCGATGAAGTTTGCGGAGAAAAAAGAAAGGACATGGAAAGACTTATATTAGAACGGCAACCCATACGGTGTAGTCAATCATTTGCTTGATAAGAAGCGCCTGTAAGTTTGCATTTGACTTAATTTCTCCTCGATATCCTAGGAAGTGTGATATTAATATTTCTTTCTTTCTCTGGTAAGAAGCGCACGCACCTCCCGATACTCCATTTGAATCAAAGGCTTTATGAAGCATCTGGTTGGCTGTAGAGATGTACTCTGCGTCAAAGAAGCACGCCGCAAGCCATCGCTTATCATTTAAGAAAGAAGACATGCACAAAACATGCGTCATCATTGCCAAATCGCGCTCCGGAACAGGCAATGGTTGATATCATAGAAGTAGGAAATACGCAAAGGGGGAGAAAAAGACAAACATGACTAGTCGTTTCGTAATCGTTTAACATCCCGCGGACTTGCGCTTCAGCTCAGATTCTGAATCCCTGTCGAAAAGTTCACCGGCAATCTCGCGGTCCTTGGCGCTTCCAGGAGCACCGTATGATGTTTCTGTAAAGGTTTGCATCTACAGACGAATGTCTGAACAAATCGTGTATAATGAGAAGGATAAACCCTACCTGCACATGCACACTGCCTATTGTAGTCTTTGGGGGGACTTCAAACCGGGCTTGTTGGCTTAGTGGATGCATCCTATTGTTATTCCCACTCGACGATTCACCATCACTGACACTGAATGTAAGAAGAGAGCAGCAAGGAGCCAAAGAGCAGCTGACCTGTATATTTCGGCGCCAGGACTTCGGAATCGGTATAATCGACGAACCACACGGCAAGAAGCTACCTGGAGTAGGACATGAGGACCCTCCGGTACACAGGTGATGAACTTAAAAAAACGAAATGCTTCGCACCGTAGCCAGAATTGAAGCCGGTCCATCGGCGATGACGCTCATAACGTCGTTAAGATCCAGAAGGGAAAATATCTGCGAGGGGATAAGAAAATCGACATAGCTCTTCATAAGGTAACATACTGCCGCAAGGAGATTGACCACGAACCTAAGGGGACAGACGGTTATAATCATCCCCACAAAGACAACAAACAAAACCTTACGCCAAAGCAAAATACGCCAACCCATCAACGAACATCAACCTCATGATCCTACTCCTATGCTGGTGACGCCGCTTATACCACAGCTTATACACCATCAAGCACATCACAATAAAGTCAGTTCCCATCGTGTATAGGTACATCGCCGCGAATAGCGTCGACTCCGAACTGTCAATGCTGCAACCCGATCCAAAAATGAAAGACGCGTGGACGTTGGTCACGGATTTCAAAATGATACCAAACTGGCCGCAGATCAACGCTGCAAGTGGGATGGTGACATAGAGGCTTTCGCCCCAAACGGCGATACTAGCAAGACGTTAAGAAGAGAGGAGGGGGAATGATTAACTGACGTACGTGCGGATGGAAAGATTGATACTCGCGACTCCGAGACAGGTGTTCCCTACAATCTGAATGAAGAGGAAAAGGCCCTGACAGTCTATATGCCTACAACGGACATTAGCAAAGCGCGTCCCTTCTCATTGCAGGCAACCAACGTTTTGGTCACATTTAACGCGATAGCACTACACTCAAATAAGCATATTCCAATTCGTTTGACGGTTCATAGACACCCACAAGCCTATCAACACGCCAAGCATGCCATAACGAGCGTAGAAGTAAAAAAACTTCCAAGGGTAAGTAAAAAAGGCGGACGATCAAGAGCAAGGACCTACCAACGGCCATCGGAACTTCTGCTCTCCACTAATCACCGCCCAATCAAAGTCAAGCGTATTGACGAACTCCCATCTTCAAAGACGAAGCAATGAGATTCAAGCCGAAAGAACCATGATACGAAACTGACAGGTATAGACCGATGAGGCAATGAATGCTTTTATTGAACGCCACTAAGGGTTCTAAGTAAAGAACATGAAGAGAGAAAGGAAGAGAAATGCACTCACGAGCATTGTCCTCGAGAACTTCGGGGGAATGCCAGTCGACCATGATGACGATTGAGGTTCAAAGGAAACAAACACCCCAGAGTAGATATAAACTCGAGGACCTCACCCCGGCCATCGAGTAAGTCGGGAAAAGGAAGAAGAGCCACCTTTGATATCAGAAATGACATGCGATGACAATAGAGTCCGGTTGAAGGGCACAAGTGACTCGAAATGGTACGCCACGACGATAGATTGGCTGGAAGAGTACTGAAGTCCTCAGCCCGGGGTACCATGAGCATGAAAACGTTAGTTATCTCGTAAGGGGACCAAGGAAGTGCGGTCTTCGAGGCCGAGGAGTGTTTACTAGCCTTGCAGAGAAGCGCCTCTGATATGGGAGATATCCATTACCACAGTTCCTTATTAGCATAGTCAGAAGATTTCCCCAGCCTCTGAGAGATTAGAAAAAGAGCCTATCGTCAATCCAGCAATGAGCCTTGTGGTAGTTCTCATTCAACGCAACAAGGACGTAAAATGTTTTTCAACATCTCCACGTGATTTTAGACGGGATAATAATACAACACAGTGCAACTTCGCCATAACCTACAAAAAAAAACCTTAACTTGTGATAATGCTCTACAATTCCCCCTGTGCCTTCGCCTCGCCCGCCTTTGCCGTCGCCTGCTCCCATTCCTGCTTGACCTTGGTCTGAGAATCTTCTCCTTTCTTACCCTCCTCCACGCTACCAGTGAACGTCTCCCACACCTGGGTTATCTTCTCTCCAACCGCGTTGACAGTATCCCTGATCCAGTTGAACAATGCTTCGACCCTAGACTTGCTTTGCGAATACCTAATGCGCGTTTCCTCTGCGGTCGGAATTAAGATCATCGTCCGGGATGACGAAAAAAAAATTACATACGAAGTAGACCCGGCCGAGAAGTAGGGAGTTCCTTCTCGCTCATGCCGTGTTCTCGGAGGAAAGCACGAAGCCGTGCATCGGGCCACGTGAGATAAGTCGCGGTGCGTGAAGATGCATCAGTGTACCTAGATTGACATTAAAAAAAGAAAATATTGGAAATAGAATTAACATGCTTTTGATTCATCAACTTGACGAGCTCGTCTCTTGAGACTTTGGCGTCAGAGCGCAAATGTCCATTGTCGATGAGCCACAAATGAAGCTGAGAATTGCTCCAAGCGTTCCAAAACGAGTCATGCACGTTGAAGTAATTATCTCTGCAATGATATTAAGCAAGGAGATTATAAACAAAACCGCTGCGCGTACCGAATGAGCTTGAGCATCTTGTCCCTCTTAACCCGAGCGTCGCTCTTGATGAACTTGTGGTCAACAAGCCACGCTTTCAGATCACTGTCACTCCAAGTATCCCAAAAGTAAGAGTTAGTGGTGTAGTAGTATTTAGACATTTGAGCCAAAAGCGCGTCGCGACTCTTCTCCAAATCGGAACGGCTGTCGAGGACATTGTGATAGGAAAGCCATTCGTACTAAGACAATAAGCAAACGCAAAAGCGAAACAGACCTGAAACATACAATGAAAGAGCTACTCCATGCCTCCCAAACTGGGTCAGCAACACTGTAATATGCATCTTTCATCATGGCAAGAAGCTCCTCCCTCTTCTTCTCCGTCTTCGACTTCAAAACACCCTTCTTCACGAGATAGTCTCGGAGCTTATTATCGTCCCAAGTCGAATACACGTAATCTTTACTGTCGTCCATCGCCCTTAACACGTCTGAGGTCGCTTGGGCTACAATCCTGGACAATGACTGGGTCGCTTGGTACCGAGCGTCGTACACTGCCGAGCTCGCTGTCGCGCTAGCCTGAGACGCAAAAGAACTTGCGGCATCTGTGTAAGACTTGTATCGATTCTTTACGAGCAATACAAGCTCCTCTTTGTGTCCCTTCGGCGCAACAATGCCCTGCTCCAATAGGAACTCACGTAGACGAGACTCGTCCCAGGTATCAAAAGCCAAGTCGCGCAGGGATGAGAAAGATTTTTGCGCAGAGATGTACTGGTCGTAAGACCATGCTGCTGCGCTGTCCCAATTCGACTTGACAAGTTCAAGGAGGTCATTGCGAGAGGGACACGGTGTACCGATGTGATGATCATTGAGCCACTTTTGGAGATCTTCATTCGACCATTCCGTATATTCTGTACATACAGAGTCAGTATTGAATTTCTGTACTTCCTTGTGGACCTACGAGGCGCGTCAGAGCTAAACCACGATGCCTGGGCTCCAACGGCGAGGGCGGCCAGCAAAATAATGGAAGGTTTCATGATGATAGACAATGTAAAGGCGCCACGAGATTTTGGGTATATATACGGCGCATACTGACGTCACGATATTAGGGGGAATGACGCTCAGTCGGTGTAAGACATTCAAAAGACAACTGGAGCGCAGTGGGATGACGTAAGACGGAAATCCCGGACCGAAGTCTACTCGTCAAGTTTGTCCTGAAAATTAGCCTCAAGCTTTCTTGCTTCCTCCATCACCCGAGCCATACAAAGCCGCCTTTCAGCTCAGCACTTCTTCCCATACTATCAGCAGAGGATCGCGGAGAGAAAACTCTTCATGTATCCATAGCCGCCTGGTCTTGTGTTCCATTTACTGCTACAAAATTGGCGGCCTATCACTATGTTCCACATGTCTTCACTGGTTCCACGACTACTTGGGCGACATTCAACGGGACTGATTGATAAAATCCATTGGACGGGGCTTGTGCTCAATTTTCCTAATCCGTGCATGGATGATGACAGCCTCAATGTTCACATACCTCTCGCAGAAATGACAGGGTGCATGCATTCTATATGAAAGATATCCCCAAGCTGATTGGTGGAGATTGGATGTATTCGGCATCTTAGTGTATCCTCGTGCCACCGCCACAATGCCGATAGCCTTGACAGCTCTAGTGACCGTCCTCTGTCTGCGCTATAAATTCCAGCATGGAGGGTTGATTCTTCATTACTGACGATGGATCCTTTGCACCTCGTCGATCTCTTGGCTTGTCTCGTCTTGGGCTATGTGCTATACAAACTCTGTACGGCGCGTAAACTTCGTCTGCCACCAGGTCCTAGAGGGCTCCCCATCATCGGAAATATCTATAATGTCCCGAAGAGGGACGAATGGATCGCCTACAGGGACATGGCACAACAATACAGCAAATAAACGTCTCCGTTCGCAGCTTCTCTGTACTGACGCTCATGCTTAGATTCTGATATCATCCACCTCAATTTAATGGGCACCAGTCTTATTGTCATCAACTCTCGAGAAGCGGCTCGCGAACTTTTTGACAAACGTTCTGCCATATACTCTGACAGGCGCGTTGAGTTTTCTTATCTCTAGCTAATAATATCATCTGAAAGTCATCACATAGACCACCCTATCACATGTTAAACGGATTGTAATTCTCGGCTTCTTGCATTAAAAGTACTTACTCAATTGAACTTATTCGTCTTACAGGATGGGCTTCACTTGGCATTTTGCCTTTCATCGTTACGGCGCTTCCTGGAAAGGTTAACTAATGATAAACTTCTAACTCGAGGCATGGGCTAATTATACTACTCCCTCAGAGCATCGTAAACTGTTCCACAAAGAATTCGTCGGCTCCGTGGTGACTAGCCACTATCCTCGGCTACTGGACGGCTCGAGGGTTCTTCTGCAGAAATTGTTGAATGACCCGAAGAATTTCCGAGAGACTCTTCGCTTGTGAGCCCAAATTTACTTTTCAATAATTTTCGTAATGCTTTACTTCTAGCGTGGCCGCACGAATCATATTAGGTGTGGCCTACGGTATAGATGTCAGAGACTACAGCGATTATTACGTCCAGACAGCAGAGAATGCTATGACAGGAATGGCTGCAGCGGGAAATGCAGGATCTTTTCTCGTCGATTCGTTTCCTATCTTGCGACATATTCCTGATTGGTTCCCAGGCGCTGGTTTTAAGAAGAAGGCTGCGAATTGGAGCCTGTCAGTCAAGGCTATGCCTCGTGTTCCGATGAAGTTCGTCCATGACTCGATAGTAAGATTATTGTCTTTAGCGTGATTGCAGGACTAAAATTACCTACAGGCTGCCGGTACGGCCAGTTACTCTATCGCATCCAAACATCTCGCAGAGATAGGAGAACATCACGAGCACTTATCAGAGAAGGTGGAGTTATTGGGGAATGTGCTAGCGGCTTCGTATGCTGGTAAAGTGGCGTCACCCGCCGTTTCGCGAATGTATCTCACTCACACCCATCACGCTTCCAGCTGGTTCCGACACCGTGAGAAAATCGCCATAACTTCGAGTGAATCCCTACTCTGTCCTCTTTTCTCTTAGACGGTTTCCACCTTGTCCACCTTTATACTGGCCATGACACAAAATCCCGAAATCCAAGCAAAAGCGCACGAGGCGATTGACAACGCTATTGGGCGTGATCGACTGCCAGAGTTTGAGGATTATAAATCGATACCTTACATCAACGCCATTCACAACGAAGTCCTTCGGTGGAGAGCAGTTACACCGCTTGGTAGGTCCTATTCATGCAAACCTTAGTCCAAAGCCAGCTTTTGTTGATGGTGGATCAGCCGTTCCACACAGCGTCTCACAAGACGATGAATACCGAGGATATCACATCCCCAAAGACTCCATAGTCGTTGGCAACACATGGTACGTATTACCTCCTATCTTGATTCGTGTAAACATTGAGTTGCTCCGTTAGGGCGATGTTAAATGACGTCTCGGTTTACGGGGAAGATCCCGATTCTTTCAATCCTGATCGCTGGTTGAAAGACGGAGTTATGAATCCAGATATCCCCCATCCTGAGGAAGCCTTTGGTTTCGGTCGACGCATATGTCCCGGGCAGGAAATGGCTGAGGCTTCCATGTGGATGTCGATTGCTTCGATCCTGGCTGTATTCGATATCACTAAAGCAGTTGATGATAAGGGCAACGCCATTGAGCCGTCAGGAGAGTTCACGTCGGGCTTGCTCAGGTATGTTGTTTCCCTCGTCTCCTCCTTGGTGGCGTCGATGTTGATTCCATGTTACCACAGTCACCCTGTTCCATTTCAGTGTGAGATCAAGCCCAGGTCAAAGTATGCAATATCTTTGATTCAGTCGGGTATCCATGTTCTCTAGGGCGGCGCTACTTGATTTGTCACAACTAGTTAATCCCATTTGCGGACGTATTCTTTGAAGATACAAAATATAACTATCACCAGTCAGACCCTTTTGAGTAATGGATCTAACGATTTCAGAGCTCTTAGCTTACATTGGTCCCTTACCAGTACAGAGTTCTATGTGTATGGTGTTCATACAGTGCTATATCTTGTCACTCAACGAAAAGCTTATATTAACTTGCCGATACGAAATTGAATAGAGCCAGTCATGAAGCAAAAGGAACAATGATGAATTTCAAAATTGCTTTCTTCCTTCTAGTCAATATTCGCCTTATTACACTTCGTAAAAGAGATGTCAACAATTACGAGAAAAACGCACGCCCATCAACCGTTTCATAAAGTCTGCTTCCTCGTGTAAAAGACCTCAACCTCAACCCTCTCTGATGTCGAAACCATAGTTTCCGATTCTGCAAAGTGCACATGCACTTGAGAAACATGGTGTCCCTGCCTTTGCGACCGCAAACACAAATTTTACTCTTAACTCCCTCCTCAACTACACAACTTTCAACCGAAATGGCCTGGGCAGATTCCTCGAAAGTGGCATCAGCAGCAACAATAGGCCTGTCCAGTTCAAACCAAAGGGAAAGTCGTGCGATGGCAGTGTTAACCAGGATTTTTCTCAGTCGCGAATGGCCGTGATTGTCAGTCAAGGTTAACAGTGGGCCACGCTTGATGACAGGCACAGTCAGGAGTGGACTGTTCCTGCGAATGGTGTGCTGCAAAAGTTTGTGAGCATACCTTTCGAAAGTCTCTGAATATCAATGACTGTCTATCATAATGCATCCATCGCCGTCTGTATACCACACAGAATGCTCGCCGAATTCATTAAGATCAGCGCGAGTCCATACGGACTGGATATGGTAGACGGTGCTGTCAATGAGTCTTGCAAGGCGACGACGTGCTGCCTGTTTAGAGGTAGCCATGTCCAATCAAGACCCCGTCGGCATCTATCTGCGACTCGACATAGTAGACTCTGACGGTCAGCCGTGTCGACCCGTAATGCCGACCAAATGGGTGTCGTTGATATAGCCAAGTGGCTGATGCTCCACCCAGCTCATTGGAGGGTCGCCAGCTCGACGACCAAAGGCTACAACCAAGTTCTACCATGGCTGCTTGGTCGAAACAGTTCACCTGCTTGTGTTCTGCCCTCGGCCTTCCCCATCTGTCACTTCAAGATATCTGGTCAAGTTGAATGATCCGCCCAGTGAAGCATCGACCATGAAATGTGCTTTGCCTGTGGGGACAGTGATGTCAAAATGAATTTGAAATCGTCGAGCTCAAAAATTGATGTACCCTTCTTAATATCATATATTTTACGGTAAGTTCCAAATACCCGCCATGTCATTTTCCCTTTTCCACAATTATCTGACAAGTCGGAACGGGGTGGCAACACGATCCGTAGGAATTCGATGGGAATCCCACCATGTGTGAATGCCACATGCAGGATTTGAGAAATTCAGTAGATCTCGAGGCATGACTTCTTCAAGCGCTCCTCTTCATCCCAATTAGCACACTCAACGGACAGGTCCGACGGTACTAGCGTCATTCCCCATCCAACGCGAAAGGTTCCGAGACTGTGGTGGGTTGGATGAGGTAGACAGGAATTGTGATTTCTGAAAGCGCATCGATCAGTAATTTCTCGCTCCGGAAGACCACTCTGCTGCCTCCAGCCCATCCATGTATATAGCCCCGGGCTCTGATGAGCTCAGAGTCCACTGTCATGGTAGCTGTTAGGGCACCTGAGCTTGAGACTGGCGAGGCGAAATCATGGCTGAAGGTATTCGGCCGGAAGGAGCCCTCCTGGCCATCCATCAAGTCATTCGTATGTCGATTCCAGAGTTCGTGCACCTGGCGCTCATCGTGGCTACTAATTTTTAGATCACGCGAATAACAAATAGGATGATCGGAGCGCGCAGTGATCTGCTGGATCTGGATCTGATATGTTGTCGTCTGATAATCAACCGTGATTTCAATGTGAAGCGGATGCCCTTTGGCTTCAACGGTGCCTTTCAGTCTGGCCACCGTTCCGGCTCCACACCTGGAAAGAGGCGACATAGACAGCTGCCAGAGTGATAGTATCTATGTCGACTTGATTGTATTTTTTTTTCAGAATACGCACAAACGAGGCGGCCAGACAGACTTGTACCCGATAGTCTTTCGTTTTTGCTACCACGCCGATTCCAAAACAGGAACGAGAACCCCCCCCCCCTCGGATCCGGTAGGCCCCAAAGGATCTTTGAGTCGAAATTCCGGCGATGGTGAGTATGGTTGAATTTCGCCCGGGACATCAACCCATTTTCCATGGGCCGCAGAAAGGTCATGAAGCACTAGTGTTTCACCAGTGCAGTCGATGATTTTCAGATAAACAGAAGAGTCACGGAACATCTACAAGTATGTAAATGAATTCTTCATAATCGTCAAATAATATAGTCAGAAGTACCTTTCAGATAAAGTATGGCTACCGGTATTCGTCATGGAGAAGCCAGTCAGTCTGGTGTGGTGGGTGACCGTCAATACAGTCAGGTAGAATTGGAAGGGGATTGAATATACCTGCTTTTGCTTCGCGAAGTTGACAATTTCATGACAGATTTTGAGACCCGGTGACAAACGCACTGAGCTCAGAAAAGAAAGGACGCCAGTATGAGTCTGCGTGAAGACCACTTGAAGACGAAAGGATCGGACTGGCAGGCAGAAAGTAACGAGGAAAAGGGTGAGGAACACGCAGACGACAAGAAGGCGGTTGTAACTTTAAAGATGTCAGTGCTGTATGTTTTCTTTTGGCACTGAAGCTTGAAGCTGCAACGAGTATAACTCGGTTTGTGATCAAGCAGAAGTGTTGTTCATCGTACCATCCACCTGCTGGGCTGTCAGCCATCAATGAAACAGTGGGCTAAACAGCTTCGATGCCATTCATGAGGAAATAGGAAGCATTGCAAAAATTGTCCTGAAAATGAAAGATGTGCTGAACAGGGTGAAATTCAAGGTTCGATTACAACATTCAACTGGCAGTCAGCCTTTCAGTAGAATATTGAGAGTTACATCAAATGAGGCTTCCCATTTCAAGAATATACCTCATCAAGAATCCTACACTGGAAAACTTCATCAATCGTATAAATGAGTAATATTATTGAAAACTACAACATTGTAATTTGTTTGTTTTTTTCTTCTGCCAACGCGGTCTCCTCTAAATGATAACGACCCATTAGTAAACAACCTCAGCAGGAGTGATCAGGGAACAAGGACACCTTTTTTCGTTCCTTGTCCATCTCCACAAGTTCTGGTTCAGCCGAGAGTTTTGCTTTGGCTTCCAGAGTCAACTTTTTAGGGGCGTTTTCATCTCTCTGAGACGACATATCGAATAAGGTCTGGAACAAACATTAGCGGGAGGAGAGGGTAGCGTACCTTGCCAGTCTCCACATACTGGACATTCTAGTCTCGGCCTTGAAAAAAGGCTACAAAATCGGCACTGATGAAACGGCTTTTATAATCGTTCTGAAGGACATAATAACTCGATTGCAGCCGACGCGTAAATAAAACACATACGACAAACTTTTTTTGATCCCTCAAAGTGATCCGTGGGTGTGAATCGATAATCTGTAATCATCTCGTGAGAGATGCGGTTCGAGGCTCCGCGCCAGCAACAATAACAGGTAATATGCTCTGACAAAAAAGTGAGCGAAAGAAAGGCATAGAAACGGAATTCAGGCCTACGAATAAAGCCCTTGTTGGTACTCACACGCCGAAGATGACTAGCGAGAAGACTGTAGGTCAAAGCCCAAGTAGCGGAAATGATCCACACATGGCCGTCAAGCAAAAAAAACCCGAGATTCGCTCTCGGGCATCAAGGAATTTTTTGTACTTGGAGTGGTCCTGCGATGACCCTTGAGAGAACGAGTGGGGTATGGGGGTCGTTGTAGGCCTTCCAGAAAAGAGCTTCGTTGGCCTAAATGATTAGAAGCTTCTACTACTGCACCGGGACATTCAAAGGACAAGCTCTGCAGAAGCAGCGGCTGCAGAACCTGAATGTTGAACCATCGTGCGGCTTGTCGGTCTTCCAAAACATTGAGACTTACGTCAACTGAGGCCCGTTTCAAGAACGTACCTCATCAATAATCCTACACTGAAAAACTCCATCAATGGTTCAATGGTTCAATGGTACAAATGATACAAATGAGTTTGTTTGAATTTTCTTCTGCCAACGCCGTCTTGTCTATATGATAACTAACTATTAGGAAGCAACTATCTCTTGAGATTACAATCCAGCCTTCCTGTCCTGCTGGGCAGCGAACACCAAGAGGTCACACACACGACGCGAATAACCCCACTCGTTGTCGTACCAAGAGACCAACTTAACAAAGTTCTTGTTGAGTTGAATGCCCGCTTTGGCATCGAAGATGGACGAGGCGGTGTGGCCAACAAAGTCGGTGGAGACGACAGCATCTTCAGTGTACTCGATGATACCCTTGAGAGGACCAGCGGCAGCCTCCTTGATGGCGGCCTTGATGTCCTCGTAGGTGGCATCCTTTTCGATGCGGGCGACGAGGTCGACAACAGAGACGTCAGAGGTCGGCACACGGAAGGAGAGACCACTAATATGCATGTTAGCGATGAAGACATGGCAGAGGTGATAACATACGTGAGTTTTCCATTCAAAGAAGGAATAACCTTTCCAACAGCCTTTGCGGCACCAGTAGAGGAAGGAATGATGTTGTTGTTAACACCACGGCCTCCACGCCAGTCCTTGTTGGAGGGACCGTCAACGGTCTTTTGGGTGGCGGTGGTGGCGTGGATGGTGGACATCAAAGCCTCAACGATGCCAAATTTGTCGTGGATGACTTTGGCGAGAGGAGCAAGACAGTTCGTTGTGCAAGAGGCGTTGGAAATCTGTCGAAATGCAATAAAGCAGCGATATCAATGATAAACTAAGAATGACATACGACTTTATAGCTTGGGTCATAAGCATCTAAGTTGACGCCAACGACGAACATGGGCGCATCAGCAGAAGGCGCAGAGATGATGACCTTCTTGGCACCACCCTTCAAGTGAGCAGAGGCCCTATCGACTGGAATCAATACCCGCATCCATCCGATCACGAAACGGAGAAACAATAACGCACTTGTCGATGGTAGTGAAGACACCCTGCACATCGGAGATTCATTATACGGCCATGCAGATCCATAAGCGAAATACGTACAGTGGACTCGACGACGTATTCAGCACCGACGGAACCCCATGGGATAGCAGAGGGGTCGCGCTCGCCGTAGACAGTGATAGACTTGCCCTCAATATAGAGCTTGCCTTCCTTGACTTCGACGGTACCCTTGAATCGTCCATGGACCGAATCGTACTTGAACATGTAGACCTAGACCCAAAGTGAGACACGCCGAGTAGCGGGGCAGAACGGAAACAGACCATATAGTCAATGTCAATGAAAGGGCTGCATATGGGCGCATCAATAGACTCGTCAATGGAAGGAAGAGAAGAACACGCACTCGTTCACAGCAACGACTTCGATATCGGGGATCTGGAGAGCATTTCGGAGGACGATACGGCCAATACGACCTTGTGCACTGTGAGACAGCAGTACCAGACATTTCAACAACTGAATGCTCACCGAATCTGCAAAGAGAGAAAGGCAGCCAAGTCAGATCCTATCAAGGAATCCTACATCCCCAAAGAAAGCGTACCCGTTAATGCCAACTTTGACCTATGAAATCACGACGAATGAGTACGGGCGACATGGAAACAAGGACGAGGACGATACCATGATGAATACAGATGTGTCAGACGATGAATAGAATTGAAGGTGGTGGTAGTGAACGAAGAGGAGAGCAGGGCACCGGGCGCCTTTTATGCAATCGCGTAATCTGATCAAATCTGGGGTCTCGCAGGCTCTGGCCTCTTTGGGGTCTCGCCGTCGTCATTCCATTCCATTCCTTAGTAGTCGGCATGAACATGATAGGACCGTAAAATAGTAAGAATTCTAGTAATTCTACCTGTATCCATTCACCCGGCACAAATCCGCAGACTTTAGACTTATTCCGTCCAACCCACGCCTTTCTCCGATTTTCAGGAGTCCCTGTCGTCAGAACGGTCGTCCGCCCGGACAGAGTCGGACGATAACATTCTTGCCCAGCATACATAAGACACTTCCAACTTCCAACTTGGAGACGCGAACGGTCATGGTGCATCCAGACCCTGACGGTGCACGTTCCTTGAGCAGTGCACAGCCTTAACGCGGTTCCCAATTCAGTTCCTTGCCTCGAATCACGACATAGCAAGGACGGATTTGTGCGGTGGGTAGTGATAGCCATGATGAGTCATTATCTAGCTACGCGCCCTAGCCTAGCCTCATTGCTTCCCATCGAGATGGCTCGGTAACAGCCCATCCCTCTCACCCCTCCCCGTCCAGGCCCGACGAATCCCCCACGCAGTCGCCAAGTTGAGCGCACCAGCCACTCCAAGAACGATCTCGGCGACTAGCTCGCGATAAACACACGCGCCAATAATATTCACGAGTCCAGCCGCGAATACCACCCAAAAATCCGACATGGAAACCTCCACATTCACATCGGACATCCAAGCCGATATCGAGAAACTGCGTATGTCCTCAATTTAGGAGCAGGGGGGGAGGTCTTCAGCTCACCCCAAGTTAATCAGAGCCGTCAAACCTACACGCATTCAATACATATATTATTTAAAATATCCATCGATAATATACGCACGCCATCTACCGCACTGTCAGCTCCTAAGCAAATATTCAACTCGTGAGTACTTACAGGACATCTACCCAATTAACCATCACGTTTCACTGCGGGGATTTGACGTTTTGCGGGGGCACATGAACGATCAGAGACTCCTAGTTTTGCTTTATATCCAACACCCAGCGTTACGAAATCCCCTAAAGCCGCTACATCTCCAGCCAAGTCCAATGTAACTTCTCGAATACAAATGTCCCATATTGTGTGTATATACAGACAGAAGGAAAGCATGACGGTGGTATAGGTGTAAGGAATATAAAACAGTCAGATACAATAAACTCCCCCCATTCATGACGGTAACGGTGGCACAGGAGGATGTCGTTGCGAAGGCCTCTTCAACCTCCGCTGCTCCATCTCCTTGGCCCGTTGCTCTTGTTCGGCTTGCATCTGTGACATGATCTGGAGCTGCTGGGCGATAAACTCTGAAGTACCCGGTCTATCGGCCAACGCATGTTATCAGTAAAACTCAGCGCAGCGCAACGACAATCGCACCTCATTCGTAAGATCTGCATAATCGTCTCCCCACTCGACACCTCCTTCTCTTGCCGCTTTTCCTTCTTCCGTTCTTTTATCGTCCCAAGATTTCTTTGAGAATAAACACTCTTCGCTCGTCTTTTCATCGTAGGACTCGAGCTCAGGCTCTGTTGCATCATCCGTACACATTCCTCCATCAACGCGTCCCTGTGGCGCAACAAATCATCAGAAACCAAGCCCTTGGCGGTAATCCGACTTACGTATGCCAATCATAGTATAACCGTACGGAAACGACATCTCGGTACTTTTGGTTTTGAAGTACCTCCAATGGAACAGGTCCTTCACCTCCAGCATAAAAGTAATCGCGCAGGAACTACCAAAAATTGGTCAAAACACACAACACGAGAACAACAAAAAAAAGTCACCTTCAGCCACTTGAAGACAATATCAACCTCCTTATCGCTAAGAGGCTTCATGTCGCTTGACACGTCAGATAGCGGCGGAATGAGCAGGCCCTCGATGACATTCAGGATCTCCTTCCAAACACGCGTCATGACCTTCTCCTTCGCCGTATCACTCAGATACGTATTGAGCGTCTGCAGATTCGCATCAAAGTAGTCGAACAGAGGCAATATAGCCTGTTCAATCTCCACATCCGTCAGTTCCTCCGGTCTCACTCGGGGCTTCTCAGCTTGAGGCAGAGGTATCTGCACATCGCTCCCAGCGGTCCCAATCGCTGACCGGTACAGCGCCGTGACATTACCCAGAGCACGGTTGTAATCCAAGCCAAGGTTACCACCTTTGATCAGCGTCTTCACCACGCTCCGTGAAAGACATTGTCGGATGAATGGTGACATCTGCAGCGATATCAGCCAGCAATCACGAATCACACAGCAGAACTGACCTTATCGATGAAGATGCGAAGCATATCCGCCTCAGCCCGTTTTAAAGAACGGAATGCACGCCCAAAGTAAAACTGTATATCGTCCTTCTCGCCCTCCATGCTAACTCGGACGAGTACTCGTCCTTGACTATCCAAGTCCATCCAAAGGTCGTGCGCCAAAAAGTCTCCGAACCGCCGGGGATCGAGACACAAATACGCTCGTCCAACAGTGTCATGCTTCCCCACCAACGCACGATCCCGCACACTAACCATCAGCCACAAAGGCTTGTCCACAGATATATCAAACGTCTCGTCCCCTACAAAGCAATCAGCTTATCAGCACATGATATTAAAGTAGCAGAAAAGACTCACAACGCGGATTCGTCGTCTCATAAATCGTCCGTGTCTTCGCTAGCCGATTGCCAGCCTCGTCACTCAGCGTAATGAAAGTATCAAGCTTTGACGTAGGGCTCGAATCCACCGGAACAAGACCCTCCGCAATCACAACCTTGATCGTAAACAAAAATCGTTCCCGTTCCACCTTTTCAGGCACCGGGGGAGCACTGTTCGTGATAACCTCAGCAAGCTTATCCGCCTCCATCTGGTTGTACATATTGTCCAACAATCGCCGGGCAGCCTCGACGTTGTTCAACTTGACACACGATTGCGGTAGGAAGTTGAAAGGCTCAACCTTCTTCTCTCCTGTGATGGCAAGCTGTCGCGCCTTCTCCAGCCAAGCTGAAGATTTTTGAGGTTGCAGGTAGTCAGTAGGGCGTGGGAACATCTCTGCCAAAAAGAGACCCTCCACGCTTCGGCAGTACTGTTCAACGGCTTTCGAAACAGTCTAAAAGCAAATAATTATCACCGTTGTAAAGCATCCCAATAAATGGGTACCTTGGATAGTGCCGTAAAGAACCGCGCACCCTGATATTCATTTTCCCACTCCAAATCTTGTAGGAAGTTTATCGGGCTTCGTAGGGAATCAAACAGGTCGACGATCGAAGAACTATGTCCTTCTGCATCTTCAGCTTCGAACTGTACAGAACCTGGTTAAAACACAAAGTCGAAACTAAATAGGAACAGGTATACCTTATCCGCAGCGATTGCCTAGTCGCGGATAGTTAAGTAACGCGCATCACAAACAATCCACTATCAACTTACCGCTTCAACCCAATTCCCAGTTTTGCTATCGGTATTCAAGAGCCACTGCCGCACATAGGGCTCAAAGAATGTGTTCATGTCGAACTCTATATGACCCCTATATATCCTTTCTTAGTTGAGTTGTGAAAAATGCCACGTGTTGCACGTACGATGGACAGAACGCAGCAAACATTCCTAGAAGCGTCTTTGTCCGCCGATACAATGCAAAGATGTCTTGTATCGGAACGTCCGGCGTCGGCCCATTCATTGACGACTCGAACAGTCGCTTCTGAGAATTGTTCAAGTCTGCGATGAAATGCGGTATTTGTACTTCAACCATCAACGATACCAAATCGAGTTGCCTACAGTAGTATTTAGATCCATCGTTACAAGCTGGAAGCAACGCACCCTAATATAGGCTCAGGAAATCGTTTATCCAAAAGCTTAGCCGACTTCTCAATCTCATCTGTCATCAATAACAATGGAAGTGCACGGTTGACCCCGGGCGCAGAAGTCAACTCGTGCATCTTCGCTTCGTAGAACTCACCAGCCACTTGTCGTATCCGATCCTGAACGTCAGACAACCGTGCGTTGATATCCACATCAAACCGTTCGAGCAATCCGCTATCTCGGACGTGTTCTAGCACGGACAGATATGGCTCTATGTCCGATGGCTTGAGCTTCACTAGATCGTCCATGGCATGGTACAGTGATGACAAGAAAATGTTGAACAGGTTCCCATAGACACTCGATAGATATTCGGTCTAATAGAAAAGGTTACCACGGCTAACATGTGCATTAGGAAGAGAAAGGAGCCTTACGTCCTGCGTGGGCCATTTTTCCAGGTCCAAATCACTTATAGCTTTTGCAATGTTCTGCAGACCTTCCGGTATACACTCTAACGGAACATCGCCGCGCTCGTAGAACTGCCGGACCAAATCAAGGAAACACGCTGCTCGATAAGAATGTCCAATCCGCCACCGGACTGCACATTCGTTCAAAAGATCGATATGCAGTGCAGAAAGGATGCCTAGAGAGACTTCATCGTTATCGTCCACCTCAGGACTGAGCATAACCTCCAGATCTGCTATTAGGCAGATCTCCAGCAGCCTCTTGTAAAAGCGCTTCGGATTGGGAGGAATATACGTAAAGTGGTGGCCAACCTGGATATCATCGTCGTCTATGTCGGTTGCTTCTCCATTGAAGTCTCCATTGTTGAGCGCGCCATATAAAGAGCGTCGGCTGCTTATCGAAGGTGTCCGAGATGCAGCAGAAGGGGTATCCAGGGGTGCATATACAGATCCAGGTCGCCTTGTGGGCGGTGAAACGTCTGACGGGGTTGACTTTGCAAGCTCTGGGTTGTATTGGACCATGGCTACCATCATCTGCTGTAGGTGGGTGGTCTCCAACGTCTTCCAATGCTGCCAGGCGGCATCTGTGTCGAAATCCTCTCTTCGACCAGGAAAAGGGACTCCGGCATTGATGTTCTTGAGACATGTCTAAAATAGATCTCGACTATAAGGGATGTGACCGTTAAGACCTAAGTGAACGCACCTTGAGGTCCGTAAGGGCAGCTTTATCGGTACATATGCTCTTTATCTGATCAATCTCCTGCTGTACTGCAGACTCCGATACTTTAAAGAGGCCGGCAACAACGAGGACTAACTCCATGTCTGCTATATTGCTACTGACCGACAGCGATGATGTTGAATCACGATCCCGAGAGGTCGACGACGAATCGTATCCAGAGTCGTTCGCCGACTGAGCCGGGGCGAGCTTGGCAGTATACATATCCAGTCGTGAGAGCAACTCTGGTGTTACATGACTCAGATTTCTGAGGCACTCCCGGAGCAATTTGATGAAAAGGGCGATTTGATTGTTTAGTTCCAGCTTCCAGCCTTCGCCAGCAAGGGTTGGCTCCTTCTTGAGAATTCCGGTAGCATGCGTGGCGAACATGAGGATAAGCTCCTCGATTTTGCGGTTTTCCTTCATTTGACGCTTGAAGCTGTCGACCATGAACATTCCGTAGAACTTGGCCATTGTTCTCCGTACGAGCTGGTCAGAATAGCTGGGTCATTGGCTCAGTATTTTGATGAGCATGAGAAGCAAGGATACACACCCAGCGTCCTTCCCCATTGCAATGTCCTGCAGTTTCTGCTCCAACACTTTTAACAGCTTCTCTGGAAACTTGACACTCTTTGGCCCATCCCGGGTGTCCTTGAATATATCGCCTATGGAAAAGTTGGATAATGCAGAAAGTCTTGATATGTGTTCGCGCTCCTTGGATTCAGGAGTCACATTGCTGGTTGTTTCGGTTGTCTTGGGGATCAAAAGATAACTCAAGAATCTGAAGGCCAGTGAATATCGGTCTTCGAAGATACGGAGAACGGGACCCACGATACACGTAAAACATAACTTGGAAGCAAAAATCAGGTTCGGGACTGCAAAAGAGAAAAGGCGTACTTGAATAGCTCATCATCCGTGACCCGATACTTGGATAATCGCTTCTCATGCGCGTAGCTGTTTTGACTGCGCCTTGACATTAGCAACAGATAAGGGGACCAGATGAAGTAGATTAGAGGGAATTCCGATGTAAATTCTCGCGAACAACACTGGAAATGCTACAGTTTGTCCAGGACTGTATAAGGGCGGGTGGGATTGCACATGCAACTAGCTGACCCGCTTGAGGTGATGATCGCATGGCCCCGCTGACAAATAGCAGCAAACTTTACCGTCCCAGTTTGGAAACAGCTGCGGTACCTCAAGGCTGTCCCGACATTTGCTCGCATTCGGTTCACACACAGCTTTCTAACGTGATTCTATGCGCGCGAACTTGGATACTTAGAACCTGAGGATTCGATGGGGCTTCCATGACATTCTTAGTAACCCTCCATGCCGAAGTCTGGCCTTACATGTTTACCGAAGATCAAAATGCGGTCTCGACAGCGATAATATTTCCCGTGTCTATCATTTCCTCATCATTTATCCCACCAACTATGCTTACCGGTTTTTCAAGTAAACATCCTGTTCACTTCTATGATTCCGGCGATGTACCATGTTGTCTTCAAGATACAGCCACTTCTACAGCAGAAGCCGACCTTTGTATAGGGGACGCAAGAGTTCTCATTTCCTCAGACAGCTATATTCAATGACCAGAGTACAGTTTTGCGCGTCAATAATGAACATGGAGCCTTGTGCACACACCCCTCTACAACACATCCAACCCGCCGCTGGAATGCGCGCATTCAAGTTGCTGCTTGAATACGTATTAATGGTCACTAATGTTATTGACTCCATATTTACTACAACAGATGCGCCATCCAGATTGACGGCCACGGTAGGATCCTCCAGACTCTTCATCAGCAGCAAAATACATCGCCAATAAGTCAAGAATTATAAAGCCTATTCCCTTCCTTCTCAGGCTTCATACTCATACAACAGGCAATAGTATAGATTCTGCATGCACGGTACATCTATTTTACAAATATGTTCGAATGGAATATTTCAAGTCAGCACTCAGCTTCAGCCCTGACCTAACTCAGTCTTTCCACAGCGGTTTAACAGCCGCCCAGATAATCTCCCTTGCATGCTCCAGCTCGCCACAAAGCTGTCCATCGGCGATGCTATCCAAAAGTCCCCTTTTCTCCCACCTCTGTTTTTTGAATGCTTCGTACATCCTCTCCAACATATCCCAATACCTCTCATTGCCCAGCGATTCTTCTGCCACCGCAAAGAATTTACTAATCTTCTTCTTGGTGATATCTCTAGGCCCCAACGTCGACACATCCGTCAACACCGGCCAGGGAACATCCTCAAAAGTCAACGGCTTCCTCTGGCGCGAGAACGAAGTCTCCTCAAACTCTTCTAAGCATCTCTGAGCCCGTACAATGGCCTTTTTGTCGGACCAAACATTTCTATGCCTGCTTTCCTTTTCCCTTTCTCGCTGGAGCGTGGTAAGGTCACTCTGGAGCGAAGCTATGCTCACCAGAAGGCGGCTGTTCTCGATATCCTTATTTCTTGACTGAGTGCGCAATGCCCTGACCTCGTCAGACAGCTTCTTGGTTTCATCAAAACCCATGGAAAGGTTTTTCCGCGTCACCACGGCTTTGGCGCGCAACGTCTTTACCTCCTTCTCCGCCACTTCCTTCACCTTCATAGCCACATCCAGTTTCGCCTCCAAATCAAGCCTACGGGTCTCTAGGCCGACAGCTGTGGCCCCACATGTCTTGTTCTTCTCTTTGAGCTCGTCGACCTTTGCATGCAGGACTTTGACCAAGCTATCCTTCGCTGCCGTCTTCAAATCGCAGCGAGCCATCTTATCTTCCAACTCCTTCCTCCTGGCCTCAAAGTTATTCTTCTCCCTGTTCCACTTTTCTGATTCAAGCCTCATGGCATCTCGCTCTGCAACGAGCACCTCCGTTTGACGATCCCTCTCTAAAAGCGACTTTCGTAGTTGGTCGATCTCGCAGGTCATCTCACAGCACTTGGATACATCCATCTGGCGTTTCCCCTCGGAGGCCATCAGTTGCCGGTCCTTGACCCCAAGCAAATCCTCAAGCTCTTTATTCCTCTGTTCGAGATCACCCAGCTTTAAATCCCTGGCATCCAGATCCGTCTTCATGTCGTCGATGGTCCGTTTGAGTTCATCAGATTCCTCGATATAGTCCTGGTTTCGGGAAGCCAGGTCCAGCTCAATTTCACCGACTCGGCGGCGCAGGCTCGCAGATTGCGTAATTTCGTTCTCCAGCTCAGTCTTATAGCACTCTGATTGCTTATGCTCTTCATCTGCATGGCTCTGCGCGAGCGAGAGCTGCTCACGGAGAGCGTTTAGCGATTCAGATGCTTGAGAATCCGCAGTTTGTCGTAGCATCCTTTCACGCCTTAAGTCACGAACATGAGCTTGCAGGTCCTCGACTTTCCTGATAAGCTCGAGTTCACGCGTAGAACCAGATGGCTATGTCCATTGGCATTAATAAGAGATGAATAGTGTAGGCTAGGAACGTACATGTGGAACCTGGTCAGGATTTGACGGCATATCGTAATAACTCGTATTTGCTCCCTCGTTGGCAATGGACGAAAATGCAGGACTATGTATAGCTTGCAAAGCTGTAACGGCTTTGAAAATGAACAAATAAGTGGTTATGCGCAAGGAGAACTTTCGAAAACATTACCTTGTTCTGCTTTGGCAAACCTGATCATGATCGTAGAGGAAAGATTGATCCTGCCAGAGAAAAGAGATGTCAGTCTAATCCGGATAACATCGCGACTGAATCGACGCTTACCCTTTCAACTCGCCGAACTGCAGCCAGATTGATTAAATGTGAGGAAATGTATTTGCCGAAGGTAGAGATTGAACCGTACCATTCGCAGGTGTTGCAGCAGCTTCAGAATCCAAGGTCTGATATGGGAGCCTGAGAAAGCAAGAGTGTTCTAGGTGCATGTGGATTAAGCATCAGCAGCGTCGGCAGATACAGTGTACAGATCTATCACCTCTATTTTCAGAGATATTAGGCAAGGATCATTAGGTTCCCTTTGCCCCTCCACAAGCTTCGCTTTGTCACGGGGATGAGAAGGGTGGTGAGCGGCGGAGGGATCATCGGCACGATATTTGACGATATTCCATCGTGAGTCAGGGTAGTCCATTGATGTAATCGTTGTTGTCAGAGGACGCTCGATGCTGTTCACTTGGTAGTAAGCGATCCGACCGCGTGTTCGGGCCGGAGCTCCGGGCATGGAGAAAAAGTCTTACCATTTCAAAATTTCACGCTCCGATTCCAAATATCGGCATTCACTTTTAGTTCCCTTGGCCCCCTTTCAATCGTTGAGCGCGCTGCGCTACAGCCACTTCCCAAATAAAAGAAATGATCCCCGCTGTTTTCTCATCGTGTGCCAGTATCAGAGACACAGGACATAAAACAAATTCTTTGCACTGAATCCTCAGCGTATATTTTATTCATAAACATTTACTTTCATGTATATGAAATAATTAGAACGTCTAATTATAGTGGTATTGGATATAAGTATCATCTACCAAATTACAACTCATCTCGTATCTCTTCCGGCGCCTGTAACGGCGCTTGCTGTTCGTCCGTCCGTGGTATTGTCTCCTCATCCTTGACTTCCTCCTTTACCGTCGCCTCCACCTTCTCGGCTGTCGGCGTCACCGTCTTTCTCGGCTTCGACACCTTCCTCTTCCACAATTTTTGCAAATGCTGCTCTAGCATCTTCGCCCTTGCCTTCATCTCCGTCGTCTCAATCACTGGATCCTGGTTCAGTTTGACCGATTTTTGTTTCTCCACCCACGTGTTCAGCCACGTCTCATGCTCCTTCAGCGTCTTCTCTAGCGCATCTAGTTCTTCCTTAGTCCATTTTGACGGAAGGTCTTCCTCCGCTTCCCTTGTGAGGTTCTGCCTCGCCTCTGCGAGGAACAGTCGGGTGCTCCAGTTCCACATCTGGCTGTTGTTTAGCGCTTGAGGGAAGTTGGCGATTTCAGTATAGCGATGCATAATAGGTCTCTCGAGGGTCCTAAAATAGTAAACGTGTCAGCGAAGCTACAAAAACAGAAACACAACGCGTACTCTAAAGCTATACGCTTGTCCAAGAACTGCGACGTTTCGGAGACATCACCCTTATCGTGAAGCCAAGTTATTGTCTCCTGTAGTTTCTCTGCAATAGCGGCACGCTCAGACTCCTGCGAGCACTCCTTGAACGGCGTATCGCGGTTCTCAGGATCAAGGAGGTCTCGTAACTTGTACAAGTAGCTCTCTAGTGTGTTCCTGGCCTCCTCTTTGCGATTCTTTGCAGCCTCATCCATATCGAGTTCTCTTAATCTAGAAGAGTAGATAGTTAGTTCCATAGACACAATAAGAGGCGCGACCGAACCTTCGACGAGCCACCCGCTTCTCTTCAACAGTCATCGGAGGTATAGATGTGAAATGCACAGTCAGGTTCAAAGGAATGGTCGTCAAGTCCTTCAGATCCACTTTCTCAGCCTTCGCTTCTGATGATGCCGATGCGGAAGGCGCAGCGTCAGACGCAGAGGAAGCATCTGCGGCATCCTCTGTCTTTTTCTCATCGTCGGATGACGAAGATGAGCTACCGCCTCCGAAAAGACCTTTCAGCTTGCCTGTACGATGGAATCATTTAAATCTGATCTTTTAATTGCAAAACCTTGACATACCTGCAATAGACTCGTCCTTTATTTCCCCAAAAGCCACTGCTTCGGTAACGGAAACGAATCCAGATTCAGAGAGCATCAGGGTAGCCTTAACCACAGGATCAATGGCGCCACGCTCAGTAAGATTACCAATAGCATCAGCAACGCCCGACACCTCTACCTCCAGTATGCGATTGGGAAAGCCTCTATGCAAATCTTGAAAAATAGTCACGAACTCACTAAGAGGAGTAACTTACGGAACAAGTTGAGTCTTATAATCCAAGAATATATCGAAATCTTCCTTCCGCTTCAGGTTCAGCGTCTTCTTAGAACCCGTCTTGGACCCGGCAGGGAAGATAGTGGTAGAAATACTACGAGGTTTGGCATTGGAAGATGCCGGTGCGGAGAAATAGGATGCCTGTATATCGTTGAGGCCAATATCCTGGACCTTGATATTCTTCGTCTTGAATTGACGACTGAGGCTGGCGCCATGAAGACCGGCACCCAATACGGCAGCCTCATCAGCATTGACGTTGAGAGCAATCTTGTCACTAAGAGGGTGATTAGCAACCAGAGCAGCAGAGGACAACGACGGAGACATACTCCCCGACAGCGGCTTTCACGGCAGCCTGGATCATGGGCGTACGCGTGCTACCTCCCGTCAATATAACAGACGTTATGTCATTTAGACTAAGCCCAGCATTTGCTAACGCGTCGTGGATGGGCTGGATGTATTTTCCCTTCAAGTCCGCACAAGCAGTCTCGAACGACGCTCTAGTGACTTTTGTCCGGAAGTCGATATCAAAGGCTACACTCTCCACAGATGCAACAGCCTCGGTATTCGCGCTGAGGATGGCCTTGACGCGACTCGCCTCCTTCCACAGCTTCGCCATGCCCCGCTTGTCCTGGCGTATGTCCTTCTTATGTTTGTTAACAAACTCATCTACCAGCAGTTCCCTTAGCCGGCGATCCAACTCTGTACCACCAATTGTGCGGTCATAACCCACACCTGCGACAACAATGTGGGTCGCCGGTGTATCGCTCTTCGATGATGAATCCGTACTGAACGACACCACGGTAGCGCGAACAGACGATGCACCAGCATCGTAGATGATATGGTATTCCTGCTTGGGAAAGGTACGCGTCATGGCGTAATTCACCGCCACGGCTGTTCCGTCATTGATGAGGGCAAGGGTGCGCAGGCCGGATATCTCGATGGCGTCCGCAACTGCGTCACGTTCGAACTGAGTGTAATAGGGCGGGACGGTAACAATAACGTCGGAGACTTTTTCCTCGCCTAGCGTTTCAGCCAGAGATTTGATGTAAGAGAACTGCATAGCGATGAGCTCTTCGACGCTCCATTCAGTGCCATCGCTCTGCCGGAGGGCGACGGTCCTGCGCGACGTTTCGACAAGGTCAGCGGAGGAGATGGTTGTGTAGTAGGAAACTACATCAGACTGGAATGGTACGGCTTGGAGAAATTTTAACGAGGAGAATGAATCGGAAGGAAACCGCGATGCCTGGCAAAAGTTAGGAATAAAGAATTGCAGGCATCGAAGGTATTGCGCACCAGATTAAAGGCATCTGTGCTGAATAATCTGTCGTTATTCTTCCACGCCACGACCGACTGTATCTTTCTCTTTGAGTCCTTGTTCAGTAACACGTCGAACGGCAGCCCTGGCTTCATCAACGACGCCTTGATCCAATCCGTGCCATAGTCGATGGCAAGTACAGACCCGAACGCCGATGGAAGAAGAGAAAACACAGAAATAAGATACCAGACGTATAATGTACGCATTTCGAAAGCTAGTAGAATGGAAAGATGAGCATGAGCTCTGTCGTGGAGGTTCGTTAACGAATCCGAAAATGGCAGTCGCCACGTATTGAGCGAAACCTCCAAGTTGGGACGAATACGGATCCTTCGGGCCGGAGTCACCCTTGCGGTCGACCATAAGCACCAGGTGTTTGGACGCGATATAGGCTCAAAATCCAACTTTCATGAGTAAGGGGAAGTGTTTTGTTACGGAAGAGCATCTTGAAGGCCAGAAGGCTCAGTTTCAAAATCTTTTACATACGTTCTGAAGGTCTGCAGAACTCTTTATCTTCCACCGGAATAGCAGGGGATCAGAAACCTGGCGCTGTTTACCAGGACCAGAAATCAGGCGATGATGGAGGCAGGAATGATCTGATGTAGAAGAGGTGAGCAAGACTTTCCTTGCTAGTATGTACTGCTGGTAACACAAACTTTTGAAGACTTCATCACCTCAGAACGGCCCAGCAAAGAAAGTTTTCTTGTACCCCAAACGTTTGAAGACGTTGCCGGGAGCTAGTAGAAGACAGCAGAAGAAGGACGCGAAAGCGACGGAACATGGGATGAGCGTTATGTTTCTTCCTTTATCCCGCAGCTGACGTTGGTATGTATGTAAAATGATATCGAGCCTTCATATATCCTCCCATGGCATCAACCTCTGGTGTTCGTTTAATACCGACATCCCTGTATTGACGAGTATTTATTACAACTGCAACACGAATTTCTCTCGTGGTGGCGACGCGTTGCATATAATACAACGGCTTAATGTTGTTTCGACGTTTGCTGCTACGAGTCGTTCCACGGCCCGATACTTTTACCTGACGTTTTTCCCTCTTTCCCCCGTCTCCCCGGTTTAGCCCGTATTTGTTATTCCTACCGTATATATATAAGCCAGTACGCGTAGTGTAACTAGAGGTTTCCGCAATTGACCAAGCCTTTACGCCTGTCAGCGACTGCGCGAGCCTTTCGTGAGAGAAGTGACTTTCACCACCCTCTCATTTGCTTATCTTTCAGACCTAATCCAGAACTTTCCTTCATCTAGATAGTCACGCAAGAGAAATAAAAACTTTTCATATCGTCAAATACAGTGGGGTACATTTGGATTTCCTTCCTACAATATTGCCTTTTCTTTACGCCAATACTGCAGCCACTTCTTCACATTTTCATCACCCAATTGTGGGAAACTCGCCTCACGAATCAATCCCGTCGAAAGATGAGGCACCCCAAACGCCTCTCTGTTCTTCCATCCTAGCGTCTCAGCATTCCCTTTGTAGTACGGAAGGACACGCTTTGCCAGCAATGTTGTCGGGTCCAATGACGAACTCTCTAGAACTTGTAGCCAATGGTCATAGGAAATGAGTTTAACGGCTAGTTCATGTGAAACGACTCGAGCTAAACTGACTTCGGGTGCACGAGATACATGACGGGGCCAGCAAATCCACATAGTCGACAATAGCATGCGCTGCCATGTGCACTGGTACCCTAGATACGAGCTAATAAACGGTAAACAAAATAGAGGTATAGAATGGACAGGAAGTACACACGAACCTTATCGTCATTGGGCAAGTAACCGAGCACCATAGAACTCTGGATCATCGACGGAATCCACTCTTTCGCGTTCCAAGTCCCTTTAGGTCCTCCAGTGAGCTGGCCTACTCGAACAACGAGGTAGCGTAAGCCAGGAGCCAAGCGCAACAACTCCTGCGAAACCCATTTAGACTCGCCACGTCCCATTCCCTTCGCAACTTCTGCGTCAACGTGGGTTTCGGCTAATGGCCGGTCCTCATCGGCGCCTAGAAAAAGTAAGACAATGCCCATGAGTATGAAAGCAGATGAATGACTGACTCTGGAAAACAGCAATAGAGCTTGTGTAGGTAAGTCGAGCTCGCGAGGTCAGGGCTAGATCAATCACGTTGCGCAAGCCCCGGACATTAGCCTCGAAGGAAGATAGTCCTAAATTGAAATCCACCCGCCACGCTTGAACAAAGTCAGACAGATCCGACTTAGTCAAAAGGAATAACATATTATCTTACCGTTGTGAATGATATGCGTCACGGAGCCTATGATCTGAACGAAGGCGGAAAGGTAAATACTTATTCAAGCCCCCAAAGTCAATGGTTCGCACCTCGACAAGAACTTGGGGTTTCGCCGATAAATCAGCTTCTAGCATAGTGACCTTCTCCATGCTAAAATCTATCCCATGACGGGAAACGCGTGCAGCTGCCTCTCATCGACGGACGCGTCTCCAAGTCTGTTCACGGCATAGATATATTGGGCGTTCTCGTCCAAGACCAAGTCGGCTAAAATGTGAGATCCGAAGGCTCCAGTGGTGCCGGTAATGAGCACGACTTTCCTATTCCTTGCATCGGATTTATTTTTGGGGATAATCACAAAGTCCTTTGAGTACTTGTCGACCATGGCTTGCATTGCATCTACCGGGGAGCCTGAACCAACGTGAATATGCTTTCCTTGAGCCACTTAGGCCAGGAACATTGCCAATTGAGCTATACCTGGGTACGTATAGACGAAGTTATCTGCAGTTTGACGGATATCAAGTTCGGCTGAATCCTGGAGAGCACGAAGGAGGATGTTTCGAATCCACGTCGCTTGTAAACTATCGATGTTAGTTCAGGTACCTCGATAAGTATGTGGTCCGTACCTATCGCAGCCATGCTGGAAAAGATCGTCGTTGTCGGAAATCGAGTGAGAAAGGACCTGTAAAACAACGGTACCAACGAATTCCTCCGTGGATGCATCGTTCCATTCCGAAGGCGGGGGGATATTAGTTTGTGTGCTCTCTGCCACAGTCTCATAAGCAGCTAAGATCTCATTGCTATAGCCTGTAAGAATAACCTGTCGCCTGGGTACAGCGCACACATCATTACTTTGCTTGCATTAAATGAATAGATCATACCGCGCAGTATTCGTTGCCGTATAGGTAAAAGGCTTTGTTGGCTTTGCCACGATAACCATCTACAACCATTTAGCAGTGGAGCCCATGCTCAGATGACTTGTGAGCTTGCCTCTTTAAATAGACGGGAATGTTGCGGTGCGAATTCGTTCATCCTTTTTACTGTGGGCCTACAGTAAGAGTTAGCAGCGGCTGGTTCCTCCAGGATGCGAAAAAAAAGTCACCATATCTGAATCCGGAAATGAGCGAGGGTGGTCTCGTCGGCAGGATCGAATGCGAATTGAGGTTTTGGTTCAACAAGAATTTGTTGCAGGCAGGTTACTTTTACGCAGTGGATAATAGGCCAGACTGAGTACGATGGTCAATTGCTTAAAGGCAATTGACCGTCGACTCAGGACAAAACTGTCTATGCTTATATAAGGTTGACATCAGGTACTTGTGTCGTCCCGCAACACTCCCCCTTGACACAATACTTCTCAGAGCTCAAGACCCAACAGCCTGATCATGTGAGTCATCTTCTCCTTCCCTAAGGCCTTTGTGAAGATGTCAGCAGGCATGTCTTCTGTGCGAAGATGTTCAATGTGTATGTGCTCCCGCTCAACCTCGTCTCGTAACCAGTAGAAGCAGAGGTCAAGATGTTTGACATGACCGTGATGATCAGGATTGCGAGCGACAGAGAGAGCAGACTGGTTGTCAATCAGCAGTGGGGATGGCGACAGATGATGGAAGCCAAATTCTGTGAACAGGTTTCACAGCCACAGAATTTCCTGTCCAGCAGAGACGGCAGCCACATATTCGGCCTCTGTGGTTGATAAGGTTACTATAGATTGTAGCTGGCTCATCCAGCTGACTGCACCTGTGCCCGTCTTGACAACATATCCTGAGGTTGAGTGCCCATTGTCTGGGTTTCCACTATGATCTGCATCTGTGTATGTTTTGAACAGATCTGGGTTTGTGGCATCAGGTGAATATGTCAATTTTAGGTCCATTGTTCCCTTTATGTATCTGAGAAGGCATTTCAGGGCCTCCCAATGCCTCAATCCAGGTTTTTTGCTGAAACATGATAGGACACTGACTGCAAAAGCTATATCAGGATGAGTGGTGATGGCCAGATATGCTACAGAGCCAAGGATCTGGAGATATGGGATATGCCACATGGTTTCCCATTCCTCTGGAGTAGCAGGGGACATTGAGCTGGATAGCTTAGTGTGTGGATCAAGAGGAGTACTGACACTGTTACAGTCAGATATTCTGGTATGTTCTAGGATTTTTTGGATGTACTGTGGTTGAGAGAGTGTGAGTGTTTGGTTTAGATGGTCTCTGTGTATTTTGACACTGAGAAGGAATGAAGTTGGACCTAGATCACAAAGTTTGAAGTGCTTCTTGAGATCATCGACAACATGTTGTGCAGACTCTATAGACTTTGTGGCAATTGTTACATTGTCAACAAACACCAGAACAATAATCCAAGCATTATCTCTCTTGTACACCCATATGCTGTGTTCACAGCATACTCTGTCAAAGCCCATCTTGGTCATAGTGCTGTGGAGCTTTTTGTATCATTCATGCTCAGCCTGCTTCAGTCCATAAATGGACTTGAAGAGATGAAGCACTCAGCTCTTGTCCTTTGTCTCGAATCCCTCTGGTTGTTGAAGGTATACCTCCTCTTTTAGATCACCATTCAGAAACACTGATGAGATGTCCACACTCCAGAGCTCTAGGTCCTCAAGTGCAGCAAGAGTGAGGACTGTTCAGATAGCTGCCCATTTTGGAGTAAGAGAGAAGATTTCAGTGTAATCAAAACCTGGCCACTGTGAGTATCCTTTTGCAACATAGCATGCCTTGTAGCATTCAATGGATCCATCAGGGTTACACTTCACTTTGAAGACCTATTTTTCACCTATAGCCTTTTGCCCTGGAGGAAGCTTCACAAGCTCAAAGGTGCCACTCTCCTGCAGTGCATTCAATTCCTGCTGAGCTGCCTCATACCATTTTTCACTTTTCTCTCCTGGCTGAGTCATCACCTCTGCAAGTGTCTTTGGTTCATCATTGGATGCAGATGCTTGATTTGCTATCTCTACTGCTGTTAAGCCCAAATTCCACATGACTATCAACACGTGATAAACAGTTCAGTACCTTGCACTTCGGGTATGGCCGACTGAGTTCACTGATGTGTTAATAGAGATGTGAGGTCAAGGCATTGCAAGTAGCAGGAGCTCGAGATAAGATAGTGAAGTAAAACTTTAATTCAAGACTGGGGTATTACAGCGAGAACTAAGCTACTTAAATACTATTCTGTTATCGTGTTATAAATAACTGTTCACAAAAGATATTGTCTGCTGTAGAGCTGTTTTCCCTACCATTGCCAGGCTCTCCACAAAAGCTGTTGTCTTGCTGCGGAGCTGTGGTTGTGCACTGCAATTTGAGGACAAAGAGAGCATTGTCTCTCCCTTCACAGCACACAGCAGTGCAATAGGAGAATGACCGACTGGGTTGCTGAGCTAAGCATTCCCATGGTCATAAGCACTGGCCTAAGTGCTTTGACTAAGCAAAGATAGGGGTCATTTCTGAGAAAAAGGAAAGGAAAATAGGAAGAAAATAGGAAAAATCGTAACATTACCCCCTCTTTAAGACCATTGTCCTGATAGTTAAGTTAGGGAAGTTCCCCCCCCTTGGCAGGAGATGGCCGATCTGCTGGATCCATCTGTCAGTTTGCAGATTCATAAAGACTTTGACCATTAGATTGGTTTTTAACTTGTCACAGGATCTCGAACTGCGAGAGCGTTGCGCTGTTTGCATGTTCTGTTAGTTGGTTTGTTTTGCCACTCATTATGTCATGACTTTCGGTATGTTGTAGGCTGCCTGTGGATCTGTCGCATACATGGGACACATTGCTTCTCATTGTATGTCCCATAGTAATTTTGTTGTTTTGCAGTTCATAGTCATGAATTGCCTCTTCTGCATCCATGTATTTCTCATTGACTCATTAGTTCGATTCTGGCCCATAGCCCTTCCAGCTGACTAGATAGTCAACAGTTGTTTTCATGCCTCCGCCTCATGCTTTCATCTTTCACGTTTTGTGATTTAGAACTTTGTCGATTTCATAGTGTTCTTTATCATCGATGAGTTCCGGAGGAGGTGGTGGTGGTCGTTCTTGGTTTGGAAAGGCTGGTGCCATGTATGGTGTCAACAATGTTTTATTAAAAACATTATGAATTTTCCAAGTTGCTGGAAGCTGCAACTTGTATGTGGATTTATCGATTTTCATGATCACCTTGAAGGGTCCTGTTTGTTTGTCTGCCAGTTTTTGCTTTGGCCATGGAAGATGCAGATTTGTGGTATCCAACCAAACTTTGTCATTGGTTGAATACTCATGAGCTGGGCATTTGTGTTTGTCGTACTGCTTTTTCATTGTTAAGGCAGCCTTGTCAAGGGCAGTCTTGGTCTCCTCATGGATCTTTGTCATCGTTGATGCAAAGGTAGTTGAGGCTGGCATTATTGTATGGACTCGACCGGTTTGCACAACTGGTGGGTTTCATCTGTAGTTTACAAAGAATGGTGTTTTACCCGTTGTGGAGTGAATTCTGTTGTTGTGCTGGAATGCTGCAAGTGCGAGCCATTCTGTCCAGTCATCTTGTCTGTAGCTGATGAAAAGTCATAAGTACTTTTCAATTTCTTGGTTGGCCCGTTCTGTTTGGCCATCTGTTTGTGGATAGTATGCTGTCGAAGCATTCCTCTTGATATTCAGGAGTCGGTACAAATTGTCCAAGAATTTGGAGACGAATTGTGGTCCTCTGTCTGAAATTACTACCTGAGGCATGCCATACTTTGCATAAACCTCATCTCATAGTATTTTTGCCCACCTCTCAGATGTTAATTCTGTTGAACAGGCGATCGGGATGATCACCTTCAAGAAGCGATCAACTATGACAATGATGGTATCATAGCCATCACTTTTGGGGAGTCCGGTTATCATGTCCACTGAAATGTGGGTCCATGGTGAAGAAGAGATCTCGTTCGGATGGAGCGGCGCTGGTCTGGGTTGTGTTGAAGTCTTGCCTCATTGGCAAACCTCGCATGCTTTGACATATCGGGTGATATCATAGTCCATCTTGAGCCACCAATATTCTCTCAAGACTAGTTCCTTGGTCTTAGCGATCCCGGGATGTCCGGCAGTTGCATGATTATAACATATGGTGATGATATCACCATGTAGTTTTTGATCCCTGGGGATGTAGATCCGTCCATCATAATGGATCAATCCCTCTTCTTTCTTCAGCCCTCGCTCGTGGTTGAGTGATAGAGCAATTCTTTGATTCCACTTATGAGGATCCTGAGTGACACTCTTGATGCATTCGTGCATCTCTTCTTCCGTGGGCATTATCATTGCTTGGAAGTGTTCTGGTTGTAGTAGTATGACTTCTTTGTTGTCATCTCCTTCTTGATTGTGATCCACTCTGCAGCTAAGGAAATCGGCCTTCTTGTTGGCTACTCCAGCCTTGTGATAGAGTGTATATTCGTATTGTGATAATTCTGTGACCCATCTGGCTTGTCTACGATTAAGCTTTTAGGGTTGTCAGAAGTATCGAAGGTTCTGGTGATCTGTCCAGATCTCGAAACTTTGATTGGCTCCAATGAGGTAATGCTGCCATTTGGCAAGGGTGAGCATTATAGCAAGGAGTTCTTTATCATAGATTTCGTAGTTGCGCTCAGTCACTGTGAGTGCCTTTGACATAAATGCGACTGGTCACCATTTATTGTCTTGTTCCTGTGAGAGCACTGCTCCGACTGTGCCTTCACTAGAGTTGGCTTCTACTTGGAACTTTCCGTCTTGGCTTGGTATGGCCAGGATGATGTCTTCGGCTAATCGGCGTTTTAGATCATTAAATGCTGCCCATTGGGAAATTCCCCAACTCCATAGGGAATTTCTGGTTAATTGTGTCATCGGTCAAACTATTTTGCTATAATCGTGGATAAATCGTCGATAGAAGTTGGTAAATCCAAGAAATGACTGTAGTTCCTTCTTTTTGGTTGGTTCCGGCCAGTCAGTTACTCCCACTATTTTGATGGGATCCATCCGAATGCTTCCTTCACTGATAATAACTCTGAGGTACTCTGTCTCTAGTACCTCAAACTCGCATTTCTCAGCTTTGAGGAAGAGTTGATGCTTCCTCATCAAGGATAGTACTTGTCATATGATCTGTCGGTGTTCCTCTTTGGTTTTGGACATAATGAGGATATCATCCAAATAGATTGTGACCTTTTCAGTAGCAATGAGATCCTTGAAGATGTCATTCATCATCCACTGGAATGTGGCTGGTGAATTGGTGAGCCTAAAGAACATAACTGTCAGTTTGAACAAACCACGGTTAGTCCGAAAAGCAGCTTTTCATTCATCA